AATGCGCTAACATCAATATAAATAAAAACCAAGCTCAGATGCCCTTAAAATCAATTGAGAAAGAAAAAAATGTTGCAATTCATTGCCATTTGAAAAAGGCAAAAATATGATTTTTACGACATTATCTCAGATGACACATATTTTGTCGACAGTAAATAAAAACAACAACAGAAACAATAACCAATTAAGGGAAACGGCGAGCAAACAAACAAAAACGGTATTGATTAAAAAGAAAAGAAGCAAAAAAAACCTATCAGGCTTAAGCTTATACTCTTTCTCTCGTCAATCATAAAGTGCTATTCACTAATGCGAAACACACGGATTTCAAAATAAATGGATAAATCAGGTCTATGGAAATCCATCGAGTTGAATATATGCCGTATATGTATGCGATCAAGATAGACATGGTAAATAATGATAAGGTCATATGTGGTAACTTTGAATTGTCAACATTCCAAGTAAATTGATTATTGATTCATTTTACTGCTCAGATGTGTATATTGACTGGATTGAATGGGCAATTGGCTTTTGTATTTGATTCTATTTTCAATCGACACACACACACACATACGTGTATTCACACAACGATGGAGTACATAATATAAAATGAAACAAAACGAAAATGCGATTTGACGTTTTCATATGCCCATATATTCCTATTCAGAGAAATATGCATACTTTAAAAACTGTCATACGATCGATTCTCATGTGAAATTGTAGCGAATTTATTTGAAAAGTATAAAAAAGAACCGTACACAAACAATGACCAATCATAAATTTAAATTTGATATATTATAGCCATTTAAATAGGAGCTTTTAAATCACCGACCAGCTTACATTTTGTGCTCAAACATACACACACACAAATGAAGAAGATTATTTTTTGGACAATATCCAAAGCGAAAAGAATAGAGAAAAAAAACGTATTTAATTTGTGTGGCAAGCACTTTTTGGCTATCACATGAATCTTTGTTTGCATTCGTCCGCAACGACAATTACTTAATTTTATCGCCATCGTTTGAATGAAAAAGCACCATCACCATTGACAGAAAGAAAAAGAAAAAAAAAAGAAATAGTCAAATGAAACCGATTCGATGTGACGTGGAAATGGCTAACAAATTACGATGAATCTGCAATTTTTGCAGCTACAGTTCGAATTTGAACAGTATATCAATAAAGAGAAAACGAATTGCTTTGCTGATTTCACATGAAATCATGATATTAATGATATTTATGGATGCATCATATATAATGTCTGCAGGGAAAATACCAATAATATATATGGCTCTATATCGATATTAACTCTTATAATTTTTGTAATTCTATCTAGCCATCGTTTGTTGTTCAAATGTTTCGGACCACTTATTAGGAATGCCAGAGGTTTTCTCTCCTCCGACGTCCGTTATCTTCGTTCTTTTTCTTTTTAAAAAAAATATATATCACAGAATCGGTTTGAATAAGAAATCAAAAGCAATAATCAATGTCTGTTGGGGGCTTTAATTTAATCGTATTGGGATTTTCCATACGATTGTAATGTAGATAAACTCACATTTGTTCAATGGCAGTCTGAAGCATTTTCTTATCGACGCTATAAAATTTTCACATTCTTAGCAAGCAACTCATGTAAAAGGAATGAAATACATATGTTCACGCAAAAATCCAAATGTGTTTAAATATACATGTATATCTGTGATTCCGTCGACCTATTATGTGCACTAATTCGTTTGAAAATATTGAGTTTGAACATCTTTTCGGGATTTTTTTTCATTGGTTTCATTTTCTTTTCTCTTCATTTTGATGGAAAATGCGCGATAGCAATTTTGAACGACAGTCTAATAAAACCATTTGGCCACTTTTTTGTGTTTCTCTTCTTGTGAACTTTTATTTATAATATTTTATGTGTCGATAACATGCTTAAATAAAAAAAGACGTGAAGAGATTTCAAAGCATATGGCTAACAAAAAAAACGAAAAAAGTAGCAAGCTCCAGTTTGAATGTGCAAGAAGCAGTGAAATTTTGCATTTATGTTGATTGAATATAAATGATTGATGATATATTCCATCATATATATTATTTTTGTTGTCTTCGTTGATTGCTCGAGTGAATGGAAATTATGGTGGTAAATATTCACAATATGCCAACCATATCCAACTGATTTGAAGACATTTTTCACTTACTTTGTTCATTTTTTTTATATTGACAGCCATGATTTCTTCCACTTCCTGATATCCCTTTCAATATTTACATACGACTCACAAACTAAACATAGACGAGGTATGTATTGCGTTACCACAATGTTTGAAAGATATGCTGTCAAAAGAAAGTTTAATTGACATCTTTTCTCAATCGATGTTACATAAAAAAGAATGCGCCAATATATCGTGTTTATATTAACAACGATTTCTTAAATGGATTTTTCAACTCTGTTGTCGTTCACATTCTTCGAAAAAAATAAACATTGTTGCGAGAAGCACAAAAGGCCAAAAGAGCACGATGCTTATGAATAGGCAATATTATTGAAGTGTTGGGCCATTTTAACGTTTTGATGATGACTTTTTTCTATCACTTATTCACTGCTCTAGCACTTCTCAAATGAAAGTAACGTGATGATTCGAAGCTCACTGATACGAAAACACACGAATACACCTGCTCAGGTTACTTGTGTTTCCTTCGCTGCACATCAATGTTTGCAAGTTGGATCCGCACGATCCGAGCCCGTCCGATCAGGCTCAGTTACGAGCGAATTTTTTTTTATTCAGTTGGAGATTGGATTGGGTACAGGAATAACGGGTCGGGTCGGTCTGAAAAATTTGCGAGTTCTGCTGCACATAAGATAGATGCGAGTGTGTGTGTGTGACAAGTCGATTGTGAAATTGTGAAATCGATAAATGTGAACTATGCCGTGCATTGGTTCATCGTTATTTTTTTTAATGTGTGTAAACACTGCATCAATTCAATGAACAAAATTTCATATGCATCTTGAAGGCGATGCTACTTCTGTTTTTTTTTTTTTTTTTAATGGAAACACAACTCTTACCTTTTCTTCTTCATTTGTTTTGCATATGCCAGAAGGTAGCACAAATACGGTTCTCAGAACTTTATAAATAGTCTCTATCACCGAATTGGAGTCAACGTCGAGTTCCTTTGTAATAAAACATTTCACTGACTTGAATTTATTCATTTGAGTAAGAAGCTTGCATAGAAATTTACCGAATTTTGTCGATCGAATAGTGAAGGAGGTCATTTACTTGTGCAACGACATATCACGTCGCTTCAAATAGTGTTAATAACACACTTGACATACCAGTGAACATAAAATACGTCCAGAATGTTGTCATGTCCTTCAAGCATTCACCGGTAAATTATCATACTGAAACCCTTGTGAAAAAAAAAATGACTGACTGACTATAAATTAAGTCAATTTTAATCAGTTTTATTCGATTAAAATTACCAATAGTTGATTGAAATCGAATATAGTTGGTTATGTTTCAGAGTTAACTAAAAGTGATTATAGTCAACATAGTTGACAAAAGTCAATTTCATATACTTATAGTTAACCGTACATCACAATCGACATTTCTCAACTCAAGTTACATGAAGACGCATGTAGTCACTTATAGTTAACTTTAGCTGGCTGAAATATTGGCCATTTTTGTCCCAAATTAGTCAATATAAGGCTATGAAGTCGAAATATTTCCACAAGGGAAGCCAAGTGAAAATATTGATAATTTTCATGACTTTGAAAGTCTGAACACCGATGAGGTTTTTTTCTCTATTATAGTTACTTTTTTGCGTGTATAAATCCGAATAAATTAATCAACGTATTTATATCGCTGGTAATTTATATAATGCACTGATTATTTATGAAAATACAAACACTTCTCTGTTGCTTTCGACATTTCATCATGACGAGGCATGGTTTCAGATATGTTCATGCAATAATACCAAATAAACTGATGAATCAAAGAATTCTCGGCTTAGCCATTGATTTTGTCATCAATTGACGTAGATTTTGGTGTTACGTGCGGTTAATCACCATTTGTGGATGACTCAGAAAAATGACTTTGTCTAAATTTTCTTTGGAATATGACACAAAGCGCACGCAAAGCATCAACACAAAAAATCAACCGTGAATATAAAGGGAGTTTGAGAAATGAAGAGTGAACACATATACACATATGCACACACAAAAATACTTCGAAACCAATATGAAAATCAAGATGTATCCAATCAAAGCTAAGGAGGATATATCATCATTCAGCAAGTAATCTCGATGGAATTGCCTTATATCCACAGTGATAATTCATTGATTCAATGTTAAATTCTCTTTCCTAATGCAGACAGATAAGAGGCTTCGATTTGCTAATAATTTATAGATTATGCGCTTCTATATGCTCATTGTTTCCTTTTCGATTTTATGCGATTTATTAGCTTCATTTTGCACACTGCTTCTTAATTTTTGGTTCTTTTCTCATTAAACTGCTTATTATGCTAATTATTTGTGCGAAAGCTTTGTAAGTATATGAGTTTCAACAATGAAATTAGTTTTTTTTTGTTTTTAAATTTAAAATATATATGACTTATTTAGGAGTCACGAAAATTCAAGAAAAATATAAGCATAAGCCACAGACAGTGGAAGTTATAAAAAAAGAATTCCTCCAATGAAAAATGTAAAGTTAAAAAAAAATCAATTGGGCGTGAAAAAGAGTGGGAAAAAAATAAGAAAATCGAAAGAAACGTATTGGAGTTTTTTTTTTCTTTAAATCAAAGCTGATTTATTGCGATGAGTGGAGGAGAATGAAAAATCGAATTACATGTCGACAAACTGAAATATTTATTTTACAAAAAAGTAAAATAAAATTGATGACACTTTTTTTTGGGCACCGCCATCATCATCGCTATAAACAAGCTGTAAATCGAAATCAGTTTGCAGATATGTAGACACCATTGAAATCGATTTGGAATTCGACTAATACGAATCATTTTCTTTTTCGATACAGGTACAAAGGGCATTGGAAATCGTTTCGATGAGCAACGTTTAACGTTGCGAATTCATCGTGGTCGTGGGTCAAATTACCATGAATCGTCACTAAGCAATGGCAGCACTCACAGTACATCGACAAGCATTGGCAGCTCATCGCCCGAACGCCATTCCAAATTTTCGACGCGAAAACACGACAAAATCAAAATATCCGTATCATATCCATCATCCGAGAATATAAGTAGTCCAAGTGCACAAAAATCAAATGTTTTGTATGCCGTACATTATTCATCAAATGGAAAGGATTTAACATCGTCACGAATATTTCGTGGCAATGATAGCTATTTACAAGTTGTAAAAAGTCTACCAAATTTGGAAAAAAGTTTATCGCCGCGCACAAGCAAAAAAATGGGAAAACGTAATATTAAAGCGCAAGTGAAACGATTTCGAATGGAAACAAAAGCGGCAAAAACGTTAGCGATAATTGTTGGTTTGTTTATTGTGTGTTGGCTTCCATTTTTCACCATGTATTTGGTGCGTGCATTTTGTGACAATTGCATTCAACCGTTATTGTTTTCGTTATTCTTTTGGTTGGGCTATTGTAATTCGGCCGTTAATCCAATGATTTACGCTCTATTTTCAAAAGACTTTCGATTCGCATTCAAGCGTATTATATGCAAATGCTTTTGCTCAGGACCTGGGTTTAAGAAAATTACCAGTCGACGTGGCTCCGATTTGTCCGCGATACGTACGGGCGGACGAACACCAAGCATTTCACCAAGCGCTGCTGCAAATTCACTTGACGATAGTGATCAGATGAACGAACTTCATTCCGAACTTAGATGACGTTCACTTGCTCCCAGTCTAAGTTCAACATGTAATTCAACATCTAGTCCTGGGGTTCGACAAAATACACTCAACAAACCAAATACATACGATATCTGCCATCCATTAGTTATGGAATCATCAACTTATTCATATGGCGGATGTAACCAACAAACCACATCAACATCCAGCGGCAAAATTAACCCATAAGATCTATCGCATTCACTCTGTATTGGTGTAATATTATATTTAACATTATTATTAGAAGTCAATGAATGACATTTTGTTGTTAGGAATAAATTTCTCTTTGTCACTCTCTATTTCTGATTCTTATGTATCAAAACACAATTTGTATGTGACACAATAACAATGAAATGACTGAACGCTTTTACCGATTTATCGACGAAATAGCTTATATTAGATTACATTACATTTCAGCTGACAACCAAATTTGATCACAAAAATTAACAGAGCTGGAAGCTTATGCAAAACACCAATCAGCGTAAGCAATGAGCTACTTAGAGCTTATTGATTCAAACCAAATAAATCCAGTCGAACCGACTGTACTTTTCTTTATAGCGTATTATTTTTTTCAATTCAAAAATAAAAGTGCTCACAAATCTTGCGAACATTTTATCGTTTGTGCTCTGCTCCGAACCACTTTCGTTACTTATCGTTCTCACTGATCATTTGGACTCATGTATAATCACATAAATTGAACATTTTGAAGACTGAATTGACATTTTGAATTGGCATTACTTTGCAAAATCGGTGTATAATTTAAAACTCTGGATATTTTTCAATTAAATCAAATCAAAACAAAGAGCAAAAAACCATCAATGTAATTAAATACCCCAATGAAACTATTCATCTATCTTCGGCGAAGTTTCTATTCAGAATTTACGTTACAAATCGATTCATTAATAATAATCAAATTAAATGCAATGCAAATGAAATAAAGTTTTGTGACAAAATGACATTTCATCAATTCACAATCGTTTGAATTGTAATGATAGAGCCGAATCATAATGAAGTTAAGTGAATGTAGGCGTATGACATATATGTTATGTTGATTTATACAGAACGAGTTCGAAACACAATAATCCTAATTGTAGTTCGATTTTCCGAAGGCGTGGGTGGTCTGTGCAATCAATTCCATTACACAAAAAAGAAAGAAAAAACCAATATGCATATTATATGTCTATTGAATAGACCAATTCATTGAACAATGACATGACAAATGTGTGGTTTATACTTAAATAAAATAAAAAAAAATAAATAAATAACCGGAGAAGCCAAAGAATTAATTATTACCGTACGAAGTGTTATTAACATTTTACCCAGAGAAAAGTGTATGATAATCTAATTGCAAATGTATGCTCTGCAAGCACACGTGGAACATTGACGCACAAAAGAAACCTTTGAACGGAATCAAAAAACAAGTCATCGCATGACTATTAATTTTCAATTCCGTGCCCACACATGCACACACACATTTGTGGTGATCGTTTTTCATATGTTGGCTTCATTTCCATCATCATCATCATTATTGTGAGTAAAAGTCAGCTGTTTTTATAGTGTCAGTCATCATATGCAATTGCTATCGAGAGCGCGATAGTCAAATAGTGATGCCATTTGCAATGTACAGCGCCCGACTGCTTTCAATTTGTCTTTAAATTGGAGTACCGAAAATCAAAATTTGAATAATAAACATAAAACTCAAACAATATCATCATTCTTGCGTTAATTCATGCTGCGAACATTATTGCTTGGCTTGCAAAAAAAAAAAAAAAACGAATCAATATGAACTCACGCAACAGGCATTTCACATTTTCTATGTATTCCAATCCACAATAATTTTCCATGCATTCAGTTCAGAAGTTGATATTTACCGCAAATTTACGAAACTTTTTGAACTGTGCAACATCATATTATAAAAACAACATCAGTTAATGAAAGACCTCGAAATAAACGCTGATTCCGGAATAAAAAAGGTTGATTAAGCCTCGAGGTAAACATCAATAGATGGGCTGGTGTCATTTTATTTATGCAGTCGATTGTCTGATTTATTGCTTGGTTAATTGAATTTCGTTGCTCGGTTTTTATTTTAACAATTTCGATAAAAAAGCATACATCAAAATATGTTTAGTAAAAATGAGAAAACATGAGGTTTTAATTTAAATAAAATATTGGTACCACACTCATGTAGAATATAAATATGGTTTACATTTCACGATGTACAACCAAAAATGTTTCATATTTTCGTCGATGAATTAGTCTCCATTTTTCGCCATCACCTAATCGATATCGATACACTAATGAATCTATGATCTTTTTGTTCAATAATACTTAATTGTAGAACATGTGATGGAATAAGAGTGATTTAATGATAAATAATAATATATATGAGAGAGTTGAGCATGTATGACATGTGAAATATGTAAATTGCGTTGGTATTAAGGATCGAATAAAAAAAAAGTTTGATGAAATGAGTGTGAATATATGGATTTATAATTGTTAGAGTAGCACGATGTTAAAATAATTGCTACTTATAAATTAATTGATTGTATTTTTTTTACTATTCAAACCTATTAAAGAAAAAACAAGAACATTCATATAATTTTATTCATTTCGATTAATTAATTTTCAATAAGAGTTTATGACATTAAGGCGTTTATTAAATGAATAATATTTTCTTTACCAGGAAAAGTAAACGAGAGTGTTAATATGGCACATCTCTATGTGGAGTTGCGTGTACCATAGCCAAAATCGTCGAGTATGTTTAGTACCTGATTTTAAAATTATGAATTTAAAACAAAAAGTAATAGTTTCGGAAAATGCTGACTGTTGTTGTATAATCCGCGTACTTTAAACGTATAAAATACGACTTTGGCCATAGGTTCTGACACTACAAAACTTAGAGGGGGAGGGTCACGGCCGAAAATCGACGGGGGGTCCCCAGCCGAAAAAACCCTAGCAAAATTGAATATTTCTGAAAATTTGTAAATCTGTAGCAAAATATTTCTTTTCAGATGCTATGTCTTCTCGGGGGGGCGGGGGTGGTAGTTCGAGAGCTGGAAACAAAAAACCCTAGCAAAATGGAATAATTTTATTCCGTGTGAAAAGCCTTAGGAAAATCGAATATTTTCTCAAAATTCTAGGGGGGGTCCTCGGGCGCTAGGGGGGGGGGGGATTATGCGACCCATGCGAACTATGTCAGAACCTATGACTCTGGCTTACTATTGAAAATGTTCCAAAGAAACTTATCCAAACATATTTTAATTTTAACATAATTAAAATAAAAACAAGAAATAACACTAATTATACATGTACTTTAAACATCTGGTCATCATTAAATCAATGTAAGAAACTTATGTATGCATTCATATTTCCTCTTTCTCTCATTGAGCTATAAATGTGTATTTACTTTTTAAAAAAAACCATATTCAATCGAAATACTACTTAACTATGTATTTGAGAGAAAAACAAAGAAAAAGCATGATTCAACCGAAAATAATGCAAAAAATGTACATTACAGTCATTGTTTCTGGTCTCCGGATATACCCAAATGAAATGAATATCAAACAGCTGACAAACATTTTGCTAACAATTAAATGATCAAGAATCGAGTTTCGACAGAGTTAATGTTGAATATCCAGCACAAAAATCGTGATTTTAGTTAAATGTATGTAGATAAATTGAAGAATGTCCAGAAATAATCAAATGAATGAAATCATTACTTTTTTATACAATAACTATTTTTAATCACACAAGGTTATGAAACGATATTGATGATTTTAATCGAAAAATTTTATCATCTCATTTTTCATTGCGAACCATCTATTTGATGTCCATCACTGTGTATATCCCTGGAAACAATGACTGCAAAAAAAAAAAAACATATTTAAATGTGTACAAGATCTATGAACGAAAAATTTATTAGCATTTCATTGGTGCACAACGCGATATTTCAGAACATATCCGATATTTAACGCAACTGCTCGGTATGTTGCGACGTATATGTGTATAAGTGCCGCACGAAAAATACATACAAAGCAGATAAAGCGTAACTGTGCAGCACTTGATATACACAGCTCTGGCTCTATCGAGATATTCAAAAAGCTCTATTGAGATATCCATCCGAAATACATGGACTGGAAACTACTATGTAAATGAATTTCGTTTTTGAATTACTCATGGGAAAAAATAAATGACAACAACAACTGCAGCGATTTAAAATGAAAACATACATAAAACAGTGAATAAATAAAATACTATTGAATGTAAGTTACAAACGTTTATTGAACATTTAAAAATCCATGTATGTTGTGTACGTGAATGTATAAATTATACAAATAAAAAAGATCTATAATAAAGAACACAAAATATAAACAACATGACGTTTTCAATTGAATAGATGACTCTTTGAAGTTTGGCTAAATAGCCAAATTTCAGGCAAAATATGAAAAATTAATTTGCAAAATTCATTGCACACAAATCCCACGACAAAATCTCCGTTATTTTCAATGGCAACAAAAAACCAGGTTTGTATTACTATTAGAATTAATATACTTTTGAGCTGCCCTCATAATTATTCAATGGTGAGTGCATAAACATAAAAAAATCTAAAAAATGCGAAAATAAAACTTGAATTGAATCGGGGCTATGAAATGACTTCAAACGAAAATGAAATGATGTACATTTTTGAACAGGGTCAATCGAACAATAATATTCATAATTTTGTGCTGAAATAGAAATTAAATCGAGTTGTCTCATCATTATTGCGTTAAATCCAGGAATTGTTTCTGATGGAGACCGAAAATGAAGAGAAATGCTGCCAAGTGAGGAGGAAAAAGTTTTTTAACCAAGCGATGTCCCTCACCTCTCATTTGCCTTCTCACCATTCCTCTTCCTCATAGAAACAATCTCTGGTTACATCATTGAAAAATGGCATTGAATTTTGAGATTGAAACTGCAATTATAATCCATTACAAATAAAGCTCAAATCATCAAAAACACATTATCATCCTCAACAAACATGGATTTAACAAATTGATCTGTTAATATAAACATGTGCAGTTAAAGCTTCATTCTGGTTGATTAAATTGGACGATAAAAAGAGACCAAACGGTAGTTCGAGTGATTGAGGGAGGGTGGACATAGCTTCTGACCGAGGGGTCTATTTACCGTTGGAGAATGGATTTGGGAAATTAGCCCTTTACAAATTGAGAAAAATAATCTAAATATTCTTTCGATTTGCTAGGGATTCTTGCGAAAGAAGTGAAGAGCAAAAAAAAACCAAAAAGATAGAGATTTGGATAGAAAGGAGATGGAATCGTGAAAAAATCTTTCAATTTGCTAGGGATTTTCGCTAAAAAAAAACCGGAAAAGCCTGGAGATTTAGATAGAATGGTGTAGCAGAAAATTACCCCTTTACAATTTTGAACAACTTTGAAATTAACCCCCTCCCCTTTGAACCTGGCCGTCAGAAGCTATCAGGATGGAAGTGGGAGTGCATTAATATTTACATAACAAGAGCATATGTCAGCGTTTTGTTATCTCGTTTAAAAGACATTATTGTCTAATATAACTAATTCATCAGCTTGTAACTGTCAATTTAATGGAGACAGAGGGAGAGAGAGAGCTTTGAGAAGAATGCAGTAAACCAGACAGCGTGCCGCCATACCAACGAGAATTGATATCATTTATACATTGTTGCATGAAACTGCAAAGGATTAATTAACAAACACGACCAATTTAAAGATTCATACATTAAATTAAATTAATATCTTCATCAAAGACGCACCAGTATGAATAAACACACACACACACATACGTAGTGCGGGAGAGAGTAGCTTTTTGGCATTACTTACACATTGTCAGTGAAATGTGAACACGGTCATTGTATAATATACAGAGGTGTTCCGACAACCACCAGCACTACCATCATCGCCATCGAATATTTCTACTTACATGTAAGTGTTATGTAAACATATCGAGCTATTAGTTTGAACAGAGCCATACACATTTTTTTATTACTGACTTGTACAGTAAAGTTCAAGCAAATCAACGATACATATGAAGTACAACTATCGCACGTGAAATGCAATTAAAATAAAGGAACAGCATAGCACAGTTGCGCAAAAATGCATAACATCAGCATTTTATACCAGGGGCGAACTCAGAATATTCACACATTGCTTGCTTTTTCTTCTCATTCATAATTTGGGACCACTTCACTTACGGGTCGAAGAATTGATATTCAATGTGGAAATGTGTAAATGAAATAGGCAGTTACTTTCCCCTAGACTTTATGTGCACCGTGTTGCACGTTGACGGGCTCACAGAAAAAATATCGGTTAAAATCCCAGCAAAATGATTTTTGGGTTTTAATTAGCCGAAAAATCGGATTAAACTGTATTTCGATGAGTACAAAATGAAGTATCTTTTTTTCGCGCGACGATGTGATCAACATGAGTCACGCGTATTACAGCTGAATAAAATTGCCAGCAGAAAGACAAAAAGACAGAAATGTAGCAGCAGAAAGACAGTCAAAAAAAGATCTTCTGGCCCAAAGTAGTCTAGGAATCGAATTCATATCTTCAAAATTTCCATTGGAAAATGCGAGAAAAATCGATCGGAAGATTTTTTTGTGTTTTTGACTGTCTTTCTGCTGGTATATGGTAATTTTACTCAGCTGTAATACGCGTGACTCAGGTTTGCTCAACAAACATTGTCGCGCGATAAAAAGGGACTTCATTTTGTTATCAAGGAATACAGACTTGAAATACAGATTCAAGTCTCATTAAAATGCTCAAATTTTCAGTCTAATCCGATTTTTTGGTTAATTTAAACCCAAAATTCATTCAGCTGCGATTTTACCCGATTTCTGGGTTCAAAACAACCGATATTTTTTTCTGTGAGTGGTCTCAATTCATGTGAAAAAAATGAACAATTATTATTGCATAAATAGTTGCTCATTTTCGTTCTCTGGAATTTTGACCAATTATTTTGTGATTCGAACTATAATAAACAGCAGCCAAGGTAAGTCGTATACAACAAATGTAATAATGATTAAAATCATTCCCTCGGAGTGGTATTTTATTCTGTACTCCGATGGAAGTTGTGTTTATTAGTTGATGAATGCGTGTAATTTTGCCTTTATTAGATAAATTAAATGGAATCATATGTCAACATGAATATATTTTATTTAATCCTTTGAACCGGCATTTGGGGCACCGCATTTTGTGTTATGTCCACAATTTAAATGGTGTTTTTCGTTTCTGTTCCTGAAATGTGTGGAAAAATTTGATTTGCATGCATAACTTGTTGGACGTATTTTTTGATGAGTTGTGCATCTGAAATTTTTTTGTCCAGTTTTTATATTCATATAATAATACACTAGTAATTTTAAGCCAAATACACGTTTATTGCGCTATTTTGTGAAAGTAATGAACATTTGAAACGCAAAATATTGTCGAGAGCTGCACTTCAATCAACTTGGATTATTATTAACAGAGATTTGGATAATTATAAAATGCGAACATACATTAAATGATGGCTGAGCACAAATTCCAATTCAAATTTAACGATTGTATAAGTGTACTGTACAATGAACATCGCTTGTGTGCGTATTTATAACATAACACAAGCATATGGAAGCGATAGACAGCATACATATAGGATTGCAATGTGCCGTTAGTATACTTGGCATGCGATGTTCTGCCTGCTTAGTTAAACACTTTGCGGTCGTTTGATCCGAACTTAAGCTCAATAGCATCGATGTACATTCCCAGTCGACTTTTCAATTATCTTATTATATTTAGCAAAAAACGTGGGCTACATAACAATTAAACCTCAAAAACAAATCAACGAACCAAGGAAATTGCGACCAAAGTATGTAATTTTATTGCCCGAAAAATAAAACGTATTTTAACTTAAGCATTAAATTTTCTTACACATTTAAATGTATGCTCAAGCATAATTTCGTTGAAATCAATTCTCATTCACAATTTGGCAAAAATATCTAAAATTAAAATACATGTGGCTAAAATGTATCAGTCTTGGTTGAATTTAAAAAGAAAATATTGTTCACTCGTTCAAATTCTTCGCCTTGCTTGGATACCTTCCTTTTTCGTTACCTTTCGCTTCATATTGCAGCTAAGAGTCCTTAATTATGTTCGCAACTTGACTTTCAGTGTTAAATGTCCTTGGGGGTAATGGTTTTGTGCTCTTATTTCGTTCCATTTTCCACATTTTGTGAAGTTTGCGTTTTGTTCATCATTCATCGCATGAAAAAAACATTTAAAGGTTAGTTTTCGCAATTGCAATTGCTGCTTCTACTGTTATCAAGCAATAGGGACTTTTGATTGGACGCCAAATCAGCGACAAATAATTTTACGAATACTGCCATTAACACACACATGACCGTCATATAGCAAAATAAATATCCAACACCGATCGAATTAATCAATTGCGGCAGCATTCTTGTGACGACATATATCAAAAACCAGCTGGTGGTTGTGAGCATCGAGCGGATGGGGAACTGGCATATTTTCGGTATAACTTTCTCAGCATATTCATTGGCAAGGCGTTGCGGACCAATTGCATAGAGAAAATAGAACAATGTCAAGCACATCAATGGTATAAAGCGATAATCTTCGGTTTTTTCACAATCAAATACACCTTGAAAACAACAATAGAGGCCAAGCACTCCCAAAACACCAGCCATCAAGCTCGTTGACCACATTAGGTTTATTTTAATGATGACGAAAATATGCGGCAACAGAATACTAACACAATACAATATGACACATAGAATCGTCGACATTTCTACCAAATATTTACATGTTATAACATAGTCGGGATGGAAGGTCTCATTTACATGTTGACAACCCACTGTGAAAGAAAGAGAAAGAGACGAAAAATGCTCATCAAAAACGAAAAATTCTAAACTACGATTTGTGAGCTGATGCACATTTTTCTTACCAGACAATCGGAATATTTTCTGAACATAGAACAAAATTGGTATAACACCGATAAGTTGCTCTAATATGTGCAGACCAAATACAGAAATTGCGAGATAAATGCTGAATCCATATGATTTGAAAGCCGATAAATAGCCAATCGGATGCACTGTACTCGTCCATAATGGCAAATCATTCTGCATGTCACAATCGTTGGTCATTTTCAATTTCATCAAAATCTCTTGTGCCCGTTTCAAATTACCGCGTACGGCTAAGTACCGCGGAGATTCTGGCATAAAGAGAAATAATATGAACAGCAGCGTTGATGTGATTGCCGGCAATAAATTGATGATCAGAAAGAAGTATTGAAAACTCTTGAACAAACCTAAAAAAATGACAACAATGAAAGAAGAGAGAGAGATAGAGAGAGAAAAAAAAAACGAGAAAAAAGTGAGAAAAATACATTAAGACATGAAATATGAGAGTAATATCGTTTGGCTCAGGGAAAAAGTGAGCTCAACAGAGAAAAAGTTGTCGAATGGCTGCCCATTTATTTGCCAATGAGGATGTTTTCGATTTTATTAAATACAATTTATAAAGTTACTTCGAAACCAGCAATAACAGCTTCGATAATAATCAATTGTTATTAATGATGCCGAAAGCGAAATTGACAGTGAAGAGCATATAGAGTGTATGGCATCAATACGTTCTAATGACTGAAATCAACAAGTTCGAATCGGTCATGATGGGTTACTTCTTCGTGTTTTTTTTTCGCTCTTCATTTTTCGGGTCGTTGCTCATTGTCCGCAATCCCATCATTATTTCGCCGTTTCAAAAGCAAATTTTTAATATTCCATCATGTCTCATTGCGCCATCATTTTTCTCATTCATTTTTTTTGTTGTTGCTGATGATGTTGTTGATGTGTTTGGTTTGCTTTTATTGACTGCTGAGTGTAGATGTTAATATGTGCAAAAATGCTTTGATCACAGTCAGAAATTAGTCAAGTAAAAAGATGAAGACTAATTAAATTGTGTTTATTGCTATTTTGATATTTCCATCAGACAATCAACAGCTGAAGCGTGACGCTTGAGTCAGTGGAAATATGCTCGTTACGGCTTAATTACTAAAATCAAAGTTGTGGCTTTTTGTCTCGAAATAGACACTGAAGTATGTATGTCTTGGATGACGATGACAAAAGTCTTTGCCGTCATGCTTTTTATGTTGCTACTTTTTTTCCCTTTTATCACTCGCTCGCTCATTCACTTCTCTTTCGATTTATCTAGGCATTCCTTTCGAAGAATTTCATTTGATATCAATTTTACGTACATCATTTTGCGCAGTAAATAGTGTAAAGAATTTTCTTTGAAGTATTTATATTCACCCAATAAAATGTGATTTCCAAACTCGCGTCACACACACAGCAAGGTTACGGTCATTCTTGAATTACTGACTCGCCGCTAGAAATTCTTCGGTATCCGTTTATGTATTTAAAATGAAAATCAAAAAAAAATTTGTTGTTAATTTTTTTGTTGTTCGTTCGAAAAATATTCATATAATTTAATGGCAAAGTAAGAAAAAAGCACGCAAATACAATGAAGCCACCTTGACATTCAAATGCATAGCATAAACAGTCGGTAAATAGACAACGAAGTAGCACATAAAGTGAAGGCTTTCATTTTCGGAATAACATCGATGTGATGCGTGACTGTTTTATTTTGGTTTTTATGGTGCCACTTGCTGTTTTCATTGCTCCATAAGATTAAGGGGTTTGAATGTTTATGAAAATGCTCAGCCTACAATCACGTAAGCGTTTTTTGCCATTGTATACGAATTGATTTGAATGAATAAAAAAATGCACAGTTTTTTTTTGTTGTTGTTGTCGTACTACACAAAATGCAGACATGTGGAGAACAATGCTTGTAAAATTCTCTGTGACACACACACACACACACGCGCAAAAAATCATGAGATGATAAAAATTCATGTTGACAGCAAGCGCAGCAGTCTTTGTGTAAACGAAAATTGGTTCGATTTTACTTGTTGATCGTTGCTGAATATTTTGACCCGAATTACTTATGAATGCGATTATAGTAGTGACATCCATCATTTTGCCACATTCACCAACATAATCACCACTTTTTATATGGCGAAAAAATTTACCATATTGCCACACTCACGGCAACTCTCTGTTTTCACATTCACCGATTGCAATCGAGCGCTTGCGTGTGTGTGTGTGTGTGTTTATCTTCGTTTGCAACATTGAAAGTGATGAGAAGATTGGGTACAGTTTTGAGATTCTCAAATGCTCCATAAATTTCCATTTCATTCTCTATTGCAACTTAAGGTTAGTGCGCCATTTAGAATTCGGCTAAAGATAACCGTGCAGTCATAATGGATCGACTGGATTGGATACGATGTGGCTGTACAGCCAACATATGTGGTAAAATATTGTGTGAAAAAGTGGTTTGGATAATGCTTTTATATCCTTTTTGTGACATTATGCAGACTAGATTTTGCTGCTAAAAACGTCAAGCGTAAATAACGGTGTTCGCACATTTTCACTTTGCGTCATTGCTGGGTTGTAAGTTTTTACCTTCTCTCTCTCTCTCTGTGCTTCCAATGCATTCAAAACATTACTATCACTACCCGAGCATTTTTCGTTTCTACTTATTTATTCAGTTTTAGTTCGGAGTGTTTGCAATAAATGAATAATGTCGTTTCGTCTATCGTTTTATTCGTTTTTATTCTTCTCCTTCGTTTAGTCGCTGCTTTGTGTGTTGTTGATTCATCGAATTGTCGACGCAACAAACGCTCAATAATTCGATCAAATGCCATCAAGTTACGTTCATTTCGAATTTCATCCATTTCAGATTACATAATGCGTCAAAGCAAATACAAAACTGCTACAATGACAATAATAAAAAAGCGTGGACAAAGTGTTGAAAATACATTCCTTGCAAATAACTTGAAAGAGTTTTTCGTCTAAAACTTTTGATGTTAAATAAATATTTCGTAACAATTTTCGCTATAACTGTAGTTTTTACTTAAAATCGCTTGCACTGTGAATAGCATAAAGTTATCAAGATAAAGATGATAGAGAAAAGTGACACGAAGAAGAAGTCGTTTTGGAGCGGGAGAGAGAGAGAGAGAGCAAGAGATTTTTGGCATTTGGCTTTTTCATTGTTGTTGATGTTTATATAATTTTCTTTTTATTATATAGCAATACCCTGTTCTTCACACTCTTGAGACTTACTAACTAAGTCTGATATCGAGAGTTCAAGAGTAAAGCAGAAAATATAGAATGTGCTAAAAAATATTCATTTTCTGTTCGTCTTCTGTTTTCTTCGTTATTTTTTTTTTTTTTTTGGCTCGTTTAGAGCTTATCAGCACATTTTACACACATTTTTGCACCGTGTCGACGGATCGAAAAAGTCGTTCAGGGTTTCAAGTTGAAAACATCGAAAATTTATTTATGGGAGAGTTCAAGATCAATGATTGAGCTACTGCGTAATTCAACGATGGGTATCTTTGTGCGACGACATACTTTAAATGTTGTCTTTGCTCAATTGGGCTTTAATCCATATAAAATATGTGCGGCACATATTACGACGGTTGAACGATATGCATTTTCCGTGTGAGCTTACCGAGTAGAAATAATTTATGCCATAGAACTATGCACACCTTTCTCAACCAATCACTATCGAGTATCGACTTTTACTTTGTGTAAAGTTTTCATCATATTGTTACGATTAAACGATTCACATGATATGGGATAACAATGCCAAAAGTATTTACATTTTTTAAAATTCAGTCTTCTTATATTGCCTCATCGAAACCATAAGATATGCAAACACTTTGTGAAAAGAAAATTCTTTCAGCAATTACGACAATGAACGTCTTGAATAGCATAACGTTAAACAAAGCTCCTGTTAAACCATTTTACACAGTGACACGCTTTGCACGAACACTTTCGCTGTACAAGTGTGCGTGCGCCTGTGTTTATAGTTATTGCAATAGATTTCTGTCAATCTGTACATAAATTTTTCGACAACGATGTTAAGGGAATTTTTTTTTTTTATAAAATAGAGAGAGAGAGAATAGGAAATAAAACGGCGAATGAATAAGAGAGCGTTTGCTGGGCAAATGGTATGGGAAACACAACGAAACACACTCCATTGAGTTAAATGAGCATTTTCAATTTTATTGCCTGAGAAGATTTATAAAACATTCGCTTATCCGTGTTTTCACTTTTGCTATAAGCGCGCCTCATCGAAGCTGCAGCATAACAGCAACAACAGTAATAATAATAATAATTCAACAAGGAGCACCGACACGAAATTTTCGTTCCACTTGACTTTTCACCTTAGGGCTTTATCATGAGAGCGTTCGTCATTTATGTGTGAGTTGTGCGTATTTTTCTTCTCTATTCAATTCATTGTGAACGTTTGTCAGGATTAAGCCCGAAAATATTAAAGAAAAAAGAAATATATATATATATATTGTATATACATCTCACCATAAATTTAGATATTATTTGTAAAGCCCACATCGATGTGTAAACATAACGAGGCATCGAAGCAACACACACCAAATTCGTTTAACAAATTATATATTCTCAGGTACACACGCACATTGATGTTGCTAGAACAGTTGTTTGACGCTTCTGGGTAGATATACACACTTTTGGTTAAAGCAGCACAAACCTATTTTGAATGCGGTATCATAGCGTCAAAATTTCTATATGGCCAATGATTGTATTTGTTGTCAATGGAAAATTGGAGCATCGTCAAAATCTCTTCGGTAATTCAGAGAAAACCAACGTCTCATAGAAGATGAATTGCTTTCGATTCTGTCGGCTTTAAGATTCATGCATAATTTAAATCATTAATGAGATCAGTAAATTGCCACGTCTTGATATAACGCGTCGATTGAATGAGACAGAAAACGGAAAGAGAGTGAGAATAATATTTTACTCTTGATTTTTTCCACAGCGATTTGATACCACAGCGCGTTCAAAAAATATAGCAGAACGAGAGAACGAAGCCGAATGGGAACAATAATAAGTGCTACGCATAAATAGATTTCAACAAGTTCCCGAGACGTTTGAATTTAAAAGCGGGAAGAAAACTGATTTAAAATTATTTTCATTCAACGGCTATTTCCGTTGCGAAGTTTGAGATGCGTTTTTCTTCAATATTTCGTTGTGATTCTTCATTGATTTTGCGGTTACGGTTTTGAAGCCGAAATGAAATGTGTTTGATTTTAGTTGAATATTTATGTTGCAACGGCACAAGCTTTTAATCGTAAATGATAAAAACCAACATAAAACATCCTGAATAATTAATGAGCGATTAACTGGATGGTTTCACTTAAAAATGACATAAAATTGGCAAGCAAAGAAGTACATACAGTGTAAAATTAGCGCATTCAATTCGCTAATAGCATCGTTTTATTCACATTCATGGTCACATTTGCAATGTCAATGTTTGAGCACACTAGAGATGGATGAGATTGTGAGTAGTACCTACTACTTTTGATATATGTTTATATAAATCCAGTAATACTTACTGTATAGGATGTATTGTGACAAGATTCCGAGCACAAAATGCAATTGCATAATTGAATAACACAAAGGTTTTTGATGGGCGTGAACGATATCATTTATGTAGATCGGAATTAGGATCGAATGAATTCCAATAGAAAGTCCACCAATGCTGCGACCCACCACTGTGCCCACATAATTTTCGCTGTAAATGTACAAAACCAAAGAAAATAATAAACGAAAGAAATGGCACACGAAACACCGATATCAATATAATAAAAAAACATCAACCACGTGTTTCCATCTAGGTTTCCATTGAATTATTTATTCAGTTCGGTGCGAGGTAATCAAATAGAAAATTTGCATAATAACATTTTATACGTACCGATTAAACATGACGAGAATCCATGCAACGACCATCAAAAAGTTTCCCATTAAAATGAAACATTTCGATCCAAACAAATGCCAAGTTTGATTAACAATTAACGGTCCGCATGCGGCTGCTAAAGCAATCACTGTATAAATGTTCAATTTCTCTGATTCGGAAAATCTACACTCCTCTCTGAAATCACTCTGACAATCCCTGGCGCCCTTCTATTTGGAAAATATGGAACGTTTTCGGAAAAAATTACATAAAAATTGATTGTAAGTTTGATTTTCTTTTTTGTTAACATAGTTCGGAGATATTTGTTTCTTTTGGTCCTTAGTTAACTATTTTATTTCGTCAAAATTTGTATTACACATAATTTGATAGATGTAACGCAACTCTCTTTAAATATTGGTCTTTCGTGCCGATTCACGCTAATAATGTGGTTAATTTCTTGCGAATTTACCAACCGGCTAAGCCTATGAAGAGACAAAATGCGAATTCCCCTCATCTGTGCCATCTTGTATTCCATAGTTGAACTCAATTTAGTTACAATGAATTGAATCGAAAAAGAGAAAAAAAACAACAACAGTAACATGGCTACATAGATCTGTTGACCAGTGAGATACGTATAGCAATGGAATGAAAGAATGAAGAAAGCGTATATGTGTATGTATGCATCAGCACGCATAGATGTACAGCTCTGTGTGGCCGTGCTATTGTTGTTGTTTTTTCACTTTTTCATTTCAATGCTACAGAATTAAATTCAGTTTTTGCATCTAATTCACACTAAAATCAGATGGCGCTCATTAGCGAGATTCGCAAAAAAAAGTCTCCAATCTCATACAAATATACACCGGCTGGAATTTACTAATATTTCGATTTCGCCATTTATTCTCGAGGAACCTAAGAAACAGTAACAATAACATGGTTACGATCAACCACAGCAATGAAATCCCTACTACCGTGCTAGATGGTGTCGACACGAGTGGACGGATTTTTAAATTTTTTTAAATGACGCCATGATACTATACTTGTCCATTACAACGTACATGTAACAGAAGAAACACACAGTCCATGTCCTCGCTAGTGGACATAAACTAGATCAAGTATAGAACTTTACATAGGATCATATACGATGAATATGGATTACACAGTCTGTTTCAAAATACCGTCACAAATGTCGACACCATTTGACATCAAAATTTTGACAGTAAAAATATGTGTTATTGTTGTTGTCGTTTCATTGCTGTGCGATCAACTGACAAATAGTAGAATTGAGAAAAAAAAAACAACAAGCCGGTGACTAATTGTTTTTTTCTCGTTCTTTTACCAATATTCTGATATCATGAATCACCCCTTTGGTAACTCAATCGATACCGAAGATTTTTAATGAGCAAATCATTGCTCAAACCAAGACTCAAACTGTAAAATATCTTATCTCGTCTAGGCAACTACAAAAAAAAACGTATCATTACGTCGAATATTCTCGATAAGATTTGTAACATAAAATATCATTAAATTCGTTGCTCATTACAGCACAAAAAACAGCTTGTGTTGCTTGAATGACATTTCGTTCGAATGCATTTTCAATCAGTTCAAGTAGTTTGATAAATGCATCCAAGAATCACACAAAAAACACACCAACAATTTCTATTCAAACTAACTGGTTCAATGGCTATAGTATGCGTTTTACGATTTACTATCAATAGCTTGTCGTGCGATATTGAAACGAAATCAGAAAAAATGTAATAAAAAGAACCAAATCGTCGGATGGATTTTTTTTGTCGTCGTCCAACTCTATGGTTATTTTCTATCGATTTTTCTTACGTTCTTCGATTTTTTTTTTGTTGTTCTCAACCGAATAAAGGAGAGGAAATCCTCTCGAAGAAACGACATCGATCAACATCCGGTGAAATTAAATGAGATATAGAAATGACCGCATTCACGTTGTTCATTTGGGTATCAAGTAAACACTTGTTTTTTGAGATTTTTATTTATTTTACAAACATTAGAATAGACATGTTTTGAGCTAGAGTTGGAGTTCTATGATATTTTCATTCGCAGGCTAAGAGAATGCAAACAAACTGAAGTCGGAGTGGCAAACTTTAGAATATTGTTTTTACTCTCAAATTATATTGCACTTTAGCTAATACTCTTTAAAAAACTTAAGCTCGACAGCGCTGAATAATTTGTATGCAATTATTTTCTGTGCTTTTGCTTCGTTTTATAATGTTTCTTCAAATTGGTTTTGCGTGTCCGTTTTATTCTGATTTAAATTTCATAAAATAAAGTTAATTTCTGCAGAAATCACACTGCAATTATGTTCCATAAGTTTTTTCACTAGTTGGCGGAAGAAAAAACATCACACACCCTGACGCTATCAATAAATTGGCCTTAGTGGCATTAGTTTTGTCTGACTGAGCTTTTCGAATTTTGGCTTTTTTTCAGTTCGTTCGTGTGATTTTTTGCCCAAAAGTAAGTTTATGCTTTGTATTTTATACAAATCAATTCGTAGAAATTAATTAATAAACTCTGTACAGCGACGAAGAAAAAACAGAATCTATTTGTCTGCATTCAATAAATCAAGTAAACAAAAAATATTTTTCAAGTATTCGATAGAAAAAGTTTTTATATTTTCAAATCTCCAGCCAGCCATCGTATGCAAGGTCATTGATATAGCACAAATATAATATTGCCGACATGTAAATGGTAGATTTTCCATCTAGTTCAGCGAATTCAATTCGAGATTTTATTCAATTTATTATTTCATCACATAAAATCAACAGTCAAACATCGTTCGTCCCCAAATACATGATTTCTTCGAAATTGTCGTCGGCCAACAGACTAATGCCATTATACATGTACATTGTACATGTTTGACAAAAGGTAATATGAAATGCAATCAAGAAAATGAATTAGAATATTTGTGTATCGGCCAAATGCACGCAAAAATAAAATAAAAATCAAATGTGTCACGATTACATCGAACCTAGGGGCATACAAATGTTAGACATAGATACTTTTGGGAATGGTAGTGGATTTTCATATTTCATACATATTTTACATATGTAAAATGTATGGTGCATATGAAAAATCATATTTTGCCAGATGTTTGAACTGATTGATAAATATGTTATGCGGAGTAATTTTCTCGATGGCGGGACTGTGCGGAGTTCGGCGGAGATAGTATGCAAACGCTGTGTGTAAGAGTGCAACAGCATTCTTTGCTGTTCATAAATTTATTTTCATAGTAGCCGTGCACAGCTGGACACACAGCTGATACGATACACATACAAATGCTGTTGTGCTCGTACATACAGCGATTGTATGACATCTCCGCCGAACTCCACACAGTCCCGCCATCGACAAAATTACTCATCAAATGAATTATATGGTAGATGGTAAATAATGTTGTCCAATGTACAATTGACCACTTAATACTTGGAATTTGAAAACTTTATTGATCGAAATGAAATCACTTTATTTGATTTTTTAATACTTTCTAAATTCAGTTTCAAAAATAATGTTTAATGAAATGTGCCACACGCTTCTTTCGTAGTTAAAATAAACGAATGAGAATTTGGTATAATTCATGTATTTTGCTAACATTCTGCATATAAATTACCATTAACGCATAGTAAAATGCCCCTAGCATCGAACTATATAATTCTTTTCGCTTCTTTATACAGTTGGAACATCGTCAGTTTAACCAGAATTGAGCACAAAAAGCATTCGATCGAAAGGACAAGAGAAAAAAGAGAATCAGAATGCTAGCAGTAACATCGCTGAAATCGAATAAATGGTGGCTTTCTCGTTAATTCCATTTAGTAGATTAAGCATCTATTTTGGCTGCAATTCGGAAAAAAAATCGACGGAAAAATTGTGCAAAAGTGAAAGTCTCGAATGTTTTCTAAATAGACATTGCGCATTCCAGGTATTGATGACGAAGATAATGTTGAAGTGTGAAAGGTAAAGCGTTCAGAGAATTTTAGCGTTCATTGTTACAGGCAATGAAAACCACATCCATTGAAAGCATGAGAACAACACAAACAAAAAATGTACCACATCATTTTAGTAAATTATTCATACCATTTTGATAAATTGTATCGAATCATTTGTTTTTGTTGGTTTTTTATCTATTTCGACAGTAAATGCAAAACATACAAATGTCCAAATGTCTTATTGAATCTCGATGAATTTTGGTAAAGGAGGGTATAAAAAGATTGGACAAATCTCTTTATATCCTTCTGAATAAGCAATTCTTATTAAGTATTATAGTCTCTCTCATATTTTATTCATTTTATATTCCGTTCATGTATTCGATGCTCAGTGCATCAACGAATCATACATTCTCATAGTTAAAGTAAATAAAATGCTTGAGAGAGGTTCACTTATGTTATCATCACAAAATGAATATCCCGAATTTTGGAAGTAGTGCATCGAAAAGACATTTCTGTGTATTGCACGACATCAAAATAACAAAATGTTAATAATAATAAAGAAAATAAATCCAATTTGTAATTCGGAGAAAAAAAAATGATGAGCTTACCATATGATAGAGATGATCATCATCCATTACCGAACTGGTCCAACCAACAAACAAACCGTTCCCAAACAAACTGAGAGATGCTGAAAAAATCAAAATTTTAAATAATGTGCTCAGGGCGCTCACTGCCATTCCATTTGAATTGCGCTTCATTCAAAATAGAATAATCAGAACTGCGTGTTTGAAGACCGTAAGAGAGAAAGGAGAGGACACCAAACAGTGAACTAATTATGAAACTTATAATGAATTATCGCTGAACTGTTAGTCAACTGTTGCCGAGCAACATTAGAAACAAATGACAACAAATGAAGAAGAATATGAATGTAAATGGCGGATGAAAAAAAATGTCATTGTCAATTGTTGCATATTTTATCAAAATACACATGTCCAATACACGTGGACAATTGTAAATTGAAACATTTTAACTATAGCATTTCGCATGACCGATTTGTTTTTTTTTTTTTTTGTTTAACGAATACGTAGGAAAAATCTATGTGGTCAGCACGCAGGAGATGCACGCCGTCAATAAAAATATATTGTGAGGTCACATATCTCACACAAAAACGCCATCTCTGTAAAACAGGTTAACTACAATGTAAAAGTATAGTAAGAATAAAAGATCGGAAGGAGGCGAAAAAGAAGGGGAAACAGATATACGTTTGAATTACATCGTAGTAAGCGTGTTTTACATAGATGGTGTCATAAGTGTCTGTCCAAATTGTGCTTGCCCTTGGCTAGTCAGCAGCACAAAATGACATAATTACTTTGTAACTCGATAATAATTTTTTACATAATATTTTATTTTGAAATCGTACAAGCATTGAGTTGACCAAAATCAGCTGAAATTGAATGACAATTTTTTACATGGACTAGCTTCTGACCAGCGCTCTAAGAGATAAAATTATTCCCTCGTTTGAGAATGAACTTCAAATGAACACTCCGACGAAAGTGCACTTTTTTTCAGAATGAAGACCATTTTTTGCTCGCCACTTATTTGGCTTCACGGAATTGTTAATTCCAAAATTTGGTACCAAAATGAGCAAATAATGTGATTGCTGCTTTTGTATTCTAATATCATTTATATTTCTATAGTGTAAACATCATAAAATGGTTTTTCTGTGGCCTTTGATTACATTATTTGCTTGTCAGTCCTTTGTGTATCTAAATATGAATAGAAAAAATCCAAAAAAACCTAACAAAGAATTTCTCCTATTTCCAAAAAAAAGGTCTTCACTTTTTGAATAGAAAACCCTAGCAAATTCGAATAATTTCCGCGAAAGATTTTTCTCATCCAAATCACTGGGTAAACGCCTCCGCACACTACTGAACATAAATAATAATAATAAGAAGAAACGTTCTCAATATAACTTCCAATCGCAATCAACTTGATTAAAAATAACAAGAATTCATTTGATGATGTTTGTCATGAATTCCAAATGATTCGTTGGATCCAATCCAAATGAAGGTGAAAGTAACAACAATTCTCAGTAAAATATTATGGAATTCACAGCCATGGTACAATTTCTCAGAAAAATCTTTCTCACAGGTGGATATTGTATCGAGACACTCACTCAACAACAAGTAACAAAACTACCACTTTTCTAGGGCGTCGGACTAACTTCATTTTTATGTTTCGCCGAATGTTGTCCTTTTCACTATATTTTGAATAGAACAATTTCAAAATGTGTTTTCATCACATTTTCGAGATATTCGTTGCATCGTCTCTCTTGCAAATATTGATATTTTCATTGGAATGTTCTTGGAAACACATTTGTAGAATCAAATATTGGATTTCATCGACGATTTAACGTCAGCCATTGATTTGCAAAGCTATTTAGAAATTCAATGTAAACGTCCAGTTAATAATTAGCAGAAATTGTTATTTGCATATTTGTTCATTTCACTTTATGTATAGGATATATTTCTGTTGTTCTTTCACTGAATTTCGATAAATTATTCAAAACTATTGTCATTCAGTTCAAGCGGAAACTGAATGCTCTTCCATATTCCATTTATTAATTATATATATAAGCGTCATAAAATGCAAATCTCATTGTTGAAATTTATTGAGACATATCATTTTGACAGAGATTTCAAGTGTTAACGCAATTAATCCTCTTTCATTATATGTCATTGTTGTTTTACTAATTTACTTTCGGTATAGTTTCAACTGGTGAAATAAATTATAGCAAAAATCATAAAAATGAATGGTAATGAGACATGAAAAGTGGCAGAGATATCAACCGCTATTATATTACATACTGGCAAACGTAGACTTTATCAAATGAATAATGAATGTGAAACAGTGCGGATGATTCAGGCAAAACAGGTCAAAAGGATAAAAGTGAACGAGAGATGCGAGAAAAAAAAATGAAAATAAAGGTGGGAGAAGAGATGACATAAAACAACGATGATGAGAATTAACAATAGTTGTTCCGATTTTGTGACGTTTGACTAATGTACTCTTTAGTGAAGGATCTTTGCATACACATACAACAACCGACATGATGATAAATCAGGTAAAGTTATATTATAAAAGAAGTGTTGAAACTATTCCAACTATTTCACGGAGAGCACTTGCTTATTTACTTATCATGCCATTCAATCGACATTGTTCTCTCTCTCTCTCTCTCAAAACAATCCAAGTTCAATAAGTACCGAAATTAATTACGTTTGAAAAACACTAAACACTATGGGTGAATCTATTCAGAAATAAATAAAGAGAACACTTACCGTTGATTACACAAATAAGTGTCACCATTGTAAATAATTTTTTATTTGGTTTCATTTCGTTGCTTTCATTCGATCCACTTTGGTTTTCGTAATTGATCAAAATCATCACTTTATTGCTTTCCATTGCTGTTTCTATTTTTGATCTATGTTCCTTTATATGTTATTCGGTTTTGTTTATTTATTTATTTTTCTCTTTCATTCATTAAATAAAACTTGGGAAGATTTTAAAGGCAAAATGAAAATTTTCCAAATTTACAGTAATCAAACGACGAAATAAAAGCCATTCATGAAGTGATCATTATATTTTCATTATTTTTTAAATGAAATTACAATCATGATTAATTTCTATTTATTTTTTTATGAATGTAATTCATATAAACTGAAATTGTTGACTAACATCCAAATATGTGGATTAAACAACACTTACTGACTCACAATTCCCATTTCATTTGAAGCGCATATGCTTGGTTTAAGTTTCTTTCTTTTTTTCTTTCGTCTGCTTAAAATTTTTGTTTATTCCATGTCGCTGTCTAATCTTACGGCCAGTTTTTAGCGGATATGATGACCGAGTTGGTTGATCTTTGACATTCAATCTTATATTACATATATACTCAATTGGATGCTCAACATAAAAAAATATGATAATAATAATGACACACGCCGAAACAGAAAGAGAGAGAGAGCACCAAAAATTCAGCATATGATAATGATTATTCGAGACATTCTATTGAAATTGTTTCTTCGTTCATTCCATATTCGTCTAATTGTGATAAGAATCTTTGCAGATGAAAAAAGTGTATTTTTCTTAGGATGTTTTTTTCAATGTCTCTTTTATATTGGGCATTTAAAAGAAAAAACTTTGAAGGGCCAGACAAACTATGAAGCGCGTAATATGAACAAAGTTTTCACAACGAAAATAATTTGTATAATATGTTTATTGTTATCGACTACAATTATGGTATGTTTTTGCCGTTTAATGTATGTTCGTGAGCTAAGTCAACAAAAAAATTGCTGAATGGATTATATTGAAAGTCTTTTCTCGCCCTTTTCAATTACGTTCATTGATTCGATTTTTTCTTTTCATATTCACTGTACAACCAAATGTATAATAATACTAACACTGACGCTGGCCTGTCTCTTATGTTACATATCAATATTTATAAATATGAATCGATCAATTTGAAAAGTTTTGAACGGTAATTCCTTACATGATGTGTATCTAAGCATTGAATTTTGTTCAAAACATGTAGTAAATACGACATTTATGAGTTCGTAAAGATATGCATAACAAGTGGAATTTTTTATTTGTTTTGTTTTGCATGCCTTCATTCATTCATTCGAAGCCGTTTATTTGAGAAAAAAGGGCGAACTAAACTTACAAATAGTTTCTTCAGTTAACATAATAAATAATAATTTATTCTATGACAATATCATTGCAATGAGGTGATTTCGATGTCTGTCAAAAAATTGCGATTGTTTTGGTTTTTGGAAAGAAATCGTATTGAAAACAAAAAGTAGCAGTACATATTTATCCTCGTAAAAATTGTGAAAATAGCACATGACTGTAACATTGGGGAATGCGTTTAATTTGGTCTTTCATATTTGGTTTAATCAATGAACTATTTGACATTTGCTTACTTTCTGATATAATGCAAATCAAAACTGTAAATTAAAGCTTGTAATGCAATGACATACAATATTCAAAATTACGTGTCTATAAATGACTATTGGCGCATGTTTCAAAATTGGTCTCATGTTTTTGAAAGAAAAAGGACCATTTTAACAGTTAAAACATTTTGTGTCCAATAAAGTTCATAAAACTGTGAGACATGTTATCTTTATTTTGAACTTTAGAAAAAAAAAGAGATTAATCGATTTAGTTTATGTATTGCATTTTGTCGAACACGAATAGTTCATCGGCATAGAAAACGAAATGATAAAAACATATTATTTGTAGCACGGAATATTGGAAAAAGTATGAAGAAAACGACGAAACAGCGATAGAAATGCATAGAATGTATGAGTGAGGGTGTGAGGTCACAATCAAAGACAATAATAATACCAGAACAAATTGAACTTCTGATTGATGAAATAGCTGTGTTCAATACTTGACATTTGGAATTTCAATCGTTCGATTAACGATTTTCCCACTCATTCTTTTCATATCTATGACTTTCGTCTTTTTTTTTATTTATTCTTGCAATTTTTCGATTTTGATCACTGGTAAAGTAATAAGTTATTCAACAAAAATGATTATTATGATTGCAAAATGTGTCTAGACTATTGTAACATCACTGTAAAAATCTATGATGCGTTATTGCCTTTTTTAATCTCACACTCGTTCTCTCTTAGAAAATAGATCTTTCGTGTCCGTATTCTACAAAATACATAAAATCAAAAAAAAACTTTGATACATAAATTCAAAACTATATATTTGTTTAGCGCTTTTTTAACAATTTCCATGCTAAAATGTCAACATGCAAACAAAGTTTTTGTATCAAAAGGACATGTCAAATGTGCAAAAATATACATAAAAACAATTTCTAAGGAAATCGTATGTATCCGCGAAAATATTCTCTGAGATATGACATTTAAAATTGAAAACTGAAAATATGAATATAACAATGTGGAATATCAAGCATTCAAGCATTCGGAATAGCAAGCATCATTCACTATGCGTCGCATTGTGATGCTTGCTATTCCGAATGCTTGTGGATTATGCTTTATGCCAATAACAATGTCAAAATCTACAGAGATAAAAACACAATTCCAGCAAGCGCACTTTCAGCAGCAAAAAATTTCATGTTTTGTATGATTTGAATGCTAAGGCGATTATTAATTGCCAAAATAGATTTTCCTAACTGATTTGGGTTATTTTCATATTTTTTTTATCTTTTCTCCGCTCTTGTTCAAGAAATCGTCATTTACTACACGCTTGGTGGGAGCAGCTCCTGACAAGAAAAGTAGGAGCTTCTTGTTTGCTAAGTAGGCGAAACGCTTCACAGGATTTCATGCCTGATAAACGCGGAATTATCATACCAATTCGAACTTATGCACAAACCGTTGTCATTCCTGATTCAAATTCAATTGCACCCCGTTATTGACGTACATGTGCGTGCGTATGTGTTTTTATTCTGTATCAATTTATTCAACCTATGTTTATATTGCTCAATATGTTTGGAGCTTCATTTCGTTGAACCAAATAATAATAATCATCATCAAAATTTCAAAATTATATTTTTCTTCTTGCTTCAAATTATGTTCATGTCTTTCGTAGTGTATGTCTTATTTCTCTATATATACTTATATATTTGCTTGCATTGAGACAAACAATTCAAACAAGTCTTTGCAATATTGCTCTCTCTCTCTCTCACACACAAACAGACTTATGGTCTCTACATCAATGTAGAATCCAGCTTGATCTTCAATCCATGCCATTATTTGCGCGCAAATATTTTTGCATGTTATACATGTTGTTTGCAAGCGTTTTCCTGCGCTCGTTTCTATTTATGTTGTACTGAAGTCAAAATATATGCACAGTTGATGTCAAAACATGTCAATACACAGAAAATGTTATACTCTAAATAACAAAATACACCGAATTGATTTTGATCTGTACACTTTGAATTTATTAAACTATTCAAACAAAATGTTCAAACTATTTCTCCTGTTTTCATTCCGCTGCTCACATTTTCTTGAATAATAAATACATTTGCCAAATATATGATTTTTTAGTCGCTTCTCAACATAAGGTAATTGATTTCGCTGAAGTTTCAGCTATGCAAACAGTATTTAAGACATTCATGAGGTTGAAAAGAATGTCAATAATTGATTTGTTTTGGATTCACTTTCTGATTAAAAATATTATGCATATGGCATAAGGATGCATTCCATAGTTCAAATGTGTTTCAAACGATTTTTCGCCGCCACAAAACGAGTGATATAATAACATGATCAATAAGTGAAAAAAAGACAAAATAATGCTTGTTTTTGTATGTTTGTTCTTTTCGTCAGGTATATGTAGAAATAAAATTGAGGGCGCTTTCGTCCACCCATTTGGTTCCATGAAAATAATAAAAATAATAATCATTAAGAATACATAGATAAATAAACCGTACGCATTGGATAAAATGTGTTTTGATCTGTACATGTCTCTTTATTATAATATTAAAACGGAAAAAATAGTCAGTTCATCAACAGTTTTCATTTTAAACGCTGTGTTTGTTTTGTTCCTTTTATTGATGTTATTGTTATACTTTTATTACTATTAAAATTATAAATTTTTTCATGTTTTTTGTTAAAAATAAATATTCCTACTAAATCTTCTAGTTCATCTCTTTTTTGTCCTTTGTCAAAATGATTCAATTTTGCTGGAGTGTCAAGCAATTTGTCAATATTGAATGCTGTTAATTAAATTTAGAAAATAATTCGACCAATCGATGCTTTTTTGAATGGACGATTTTTCATGCAATTTTTCTATTCTTTGTTATCATTTCACAGAAATATCTACTATGTGCAGACGGTGAATCATACGCCTCCCATTCCGCCATACGGTTGTGGTTGAACTGGTACACCAATCGGTGGTGCATTTCCCGGCTGATTCATTGCTTGCATTGGTGAATGCATCATTGGATTTGGGCTGGCACCCATTGGTGATGCTACACATTGATTTGGCAGCACCGGTGATATTTCGTTTGGCAAAATAAAATTCATAAGAAGATCACGCACAGCAGGGAATAAAGAACATTCACCACTGTGAGCTGTATACTCTGCGAAACGCTTAAGATGCTCATTGACTGCATGCACAACCGGTGATTGTACATTCTCTCTGCTCACCAATTGTGTTAGATTTTTGGTAACAACATGAACCAACGGAAGCACTAGTGTCACCGAATCTTTCCATTCAATGCCAGGCATATATGGTACACGAGTCAATTGTAACTGAAATCAAAATTAAAATTTACGATGATATAAAGATATCAGATCATGTATATAATTAATAAAAAAAAAATTGAATACATACGAAAAATAGAATCTTTTCACGGCAAGTCAGAACAGCAGCATTTCCAACTGGAACCACTTGAAATGATGACGCTGACGGTGGTACACGCATACACAATTGTAAATTCCATTTTGCCGTCGGCTGTAATAGGTCCGGTTGCAGATCTAAACGCATCAATTGTACAACATCCTTAAGTACAATCGGTGGCAGTGTTAATGTTTTACCAAAACCGCACAGTGTAGATGGTCGATAGGGTGGAGCAGCCACTCGAAAATCGAAAAATTGCTCAATCACTAGTAATTCGTCGGGGCTCCATTGGATTATTGGTTTTCCCGCATCGTTTGGTGCCGGTGACACTTTTATATGCAGCGATTGCATGTGCATCGGATTCAAAAATACTTGACACTGTAATGTTTCCGCTTTGAATAACACAACGCCTGGCTCATTCGATGTAATATATTGCAACTGTAAATAAGAATATTTACAAATTGATTCACAATCATTTATGAAGGCTAAAGAAATCGTAAAGACATTTAAATACGTACCGCTTCGTCGGATTGAATAAGCCGCTGCAAATTTCTTCTCATCGATACACAACCCAAAAACCGCTCTAATGGACTCAATTCGGGTCCCGGAATATCTTTTTGTGGATGCGCACATGGTCGACAGAGAGTATCGAGTGCTTCATGAGTTAATAATGTTGGCACCGCACCGGCCCACGATCGAGCCGGAATTACTCGCGATAAATGTGGCGCATTGGCTGTTTTTTTTTTTTAAATAAATTTGAAGAAATAAACGGTAATTTAAATACAAATAATCATTTGAAAAAATAATTTAAAAAATCTTAATTATATTTTACAGTCAGGCGATATTTTCACCTTTCACATTATTTTAATGATATTATTTGTAAATTGATTCAATATCGACCCGATGACAATTACCTTAACCGAATGTATAATTTATTTCAGATTGAAAATCGGTTTTATAATTGCGTTTGAAATGAATTGGGTGATTAAATTGAATTCAATTTTGTTATAGTCACAAAAAAGAGACATTTCAAATAATTCAAATGACCTAAGATAATAAAAATCTTAATATTCCATTCATAATGTTGATTCATTATCGCAGTGGGGTTTTTTCAGTATTTCTAAAAATATATTTGTGCCGAAAAGTGTGTCATTCAGAATCGTACATGTTTTTTTTAAAACTGAATTTAAAATCAAATTTTCTTATCACATGCCTGATAGCAATGAAAATTGACTCCTGACCAAAAATATGAACATTGTAATTTAATTCTATCAACGTAAAATTCATCTTGATTGACCACATATACATATTTGTAAGCAAATATCTTTGACAAAATCTGGCCCATAAAAAAATGTATCCAATTTTGTCTGATGATAATAAGATTTGATGGTCGAAATATTCTTATGATATGTCATATATACCTTGAGGTTGCAATTTATGTTCTGGACTCTGTCCAGGCCGTGGTGAAGGCCGTGGTGATCCTGATTGAAATAAATAAAATACAGATTTTTAGTATCGATTTGTTAGAAATTAAATGTAAAAACGTTACCTGGCCAATTGGCAGCAGCTGGTGACATAGCCGCAAATGGGCTACTGTCAGGATGTGATTGCATATAAGCGAGATTTGGGCCAGGTGAATGAGCAGTCATTGGGCTCGGTTGTGGATTGAGTGGACTTGATGGCATAAGATTTCCACTAGGTGATGGATGAGGTAATTGTGGATGTGATCCAGGTGGTGAAGTCATGTTAAAGCTAAAAAATACAATTTTTTTAAGTTTTTTTTTCAAATCATCTCTCCATAACTACTGATTTGTAAATGGCATTTACCTGCTATGTGGATGACTTTGTCCAATCATGTGTGGACTAGCTGGCGTATGTGGATTTGAACTTGATGGTGGTGTGATTGGCTGTTGAAAACGCAGGCCAGCATCACGTGGACTTTGTGGTGGTCTTAGACTTAAGTTGGAACTAAAAAAAAAATCAAATCCATTTTAATCGTAATTTTTTTTTTTCAAATCCAACACTTGACATACTTATAAAAAGGTGATGAACCGCCCGCATGTGTGTCTTCCATTGTAATCGGTGATGGTGGGTTGTCATCCTCCGATTGTGATTGTCTTCGATAGACGGCCGATTCGTCGACATATTTCGATAGAAAACCCTTAAGACCTTGTGTTGGTGTGAACTCTTCCACCACATTGCTACGATCAAATCTACTATATGCACCATCTCTGATTGAAACTAAACCACCACCTCGAAATCGAATTTCCATGCAATACATTGTTTGATATGAAACACGCAGCAATGTGGGCGATTGAGGTAAAATACAAAATGACAGCACTGGATTCAATGGTCGCTACAAATGAAGAGTGAGAGTGGACGGAAACAATTTAAAATTAGAAATGTTGTTCAAATTGAGGAAAATAAATGTTAAAATCACATTTACTGGTATTCCTAATTGCGGAATAATCGGTAGTTTTGCAATGGAACTAAGCGGTTGATATGTCTCGTGTATAATATGCACTATTTGCGATAAATTGTGATGTCGATTGAGATGCGCCTGTAGTTGTTCACGCATTATTGTATGAGCATTTATCGCTGTATTGCCACCATTGAAAATCATTTTGTATTCCTTTGATTTTGTGCACCAGAATATACTGACAGTGACCTCTTTATTTGGCCCATATCCAATCAATAAATTCGTATACGAGTACGATTTAATCACAACGAAATTTTGCAAATTCGCTTCTATGAGAACAAAAATTGAGAAACAAACAATTTATTCAAAAAAAATTCAATAAACATTCGACAAACGATGGAAATATAAATGGGACGTACCGTTTTTGAATTGCTCAGCGAAATCATGAACCAATAGATACAAATAGACTATTTTTGACCAATCGTTCAGCAGACTATCGATTGTATGATTTACAGTATCAGTGGTGCCTACGGGATAATCGCAAAAGAATAGAAATTATGATAATTAAGTAACATATAATGGAAATCAAATTGAGCTCCAACTAAAAGAAAAAATAGAAAAAAAAAATATAGTACCCATATCATACTGGAACAATATTGGACGACGCTTTCCTAAAACATACAATTACCAATCAGTTTTTTCTTTCACATTTTAAATTATCATTCAGATGCGTGGAAAATAATCATACCTTGTTCGCGATGATGTTTACTTTTCAAAGGTGTTTCAAAAAAGATGATTTCTACTGTCCAGAATCGTGAACTGTTGTTCTTAATATGCGATCGAATCGACACCGAAAGCAAACGTTTCATCAAAGCATTTCGAACTGCTTGATCTATCTTTGGAATGGACTTCTGCAAATGAACAAATGAAAAAAATGATTCAAACAGTTTTTGACAGAGTTTTGCGAAAAAATACTACAAACCTTGCTATCAGATGGCTTTACTTCGGGCATTGGAAGTGTCAACAGTTTTAATACCAAACTGGTTGAATTGGCTTCGATTTGTAGTCCAGTGTGATTAACTTTGCGCTGACTGAGTGCTTGAGCCAATGCAAAGAATGGCAATTTCTCGTCGCACATTGCAACTACATGCGCCAATTCAGGTATGAAGTAGGCCGGATAAATGGTTTTCGGCTGTTTGGAAGCTGGTCCATCAATCATACATTGCTTACGTTTATTCGATGTACCTAACATTTGAAAAACAAAAATGATCCGCGAGTTAATAACAAGAATGAAAAATAAAAAAGATGTTGATGTCATACCATCAAGATAAGTTCCTGGTCCATGTGTTGCAGTGAACGTATCAAATTCGACCATCGATTGAACGGTCAAGTATTTTTTTGGTACATCACTTTCGGATTGGTTTGATTGGTTTCTTGGATCCTCATCAATGGCAATGTGCTTTACAAAGATTAAATGAAATTTATATTCCATTTCACACGATGTATTTGGCTTCTCCTTAATTTCCACCACCTGAACATTAACCAAAAATGAAAATATATTATTTCATCTGCAAAAAAGAAAGAAGCAAAGGTAAGAGAAAGAAAAATTACACACCAAAATGATATTTGAGTGTCGATGTAGTTTGATGAATATTTTATGTCGGCCAGTTCGTGCCAGTGCTGGATCGGGTGCATATAGCAATGGTAAAAGTTCAAAAGATGTGGCCGGCAAATGTTGGAGTGTCTTTTCACATCGTCTTTGTGTTATCCAATATCGTAACTCGCTAACGTATTGTGGTAGTTTATTTATATCGCTATTTAAAGCTGATTCCAGTTCTGGAATTACTGTACAATTAAGATGTTTAGGCACATGACATCGCAACATTCCTGTATGCGTATCAACAGTTATGTGAATTTGTTCGGCTCGAAGGCATGGGCTCAATACAGGAACGGTAAGAATGGCTGGCGTTCCTTGTAAGTGATCTAAAAAATTGTAAATTAATCATTATTTCTCAATTCAAAAGATGAAAATAAAATCGAAATGTTATTGGTACTTACAATCAACGTCTTTCAAAAATGTTTGAAATTCAGCTTTGATGTCATTGAGACGGGCAAGTGATCGAATATAAACCGTGTGTACCAGTAATCGTTCAATTGAAAGAAGATCACAACGAACGGCTCGATCGGCGACCTCAGTTGATTCTTTAGCACCAATTGATGGCATATGTAGCACGGCCAACGGTCTTGCACTATCACTTGGATCGGTTTGCACTGTAAATCGATAGCCCATTTCGGATTTTGGATCTTTGCTCGTCAATTCACGCCAATATGAAACGGTTAATTTTACACCTGGCACATATTCATCCACATGAATATGTTCGTCCAGCCGATCGATTTTCAGACGCAATGTTTGGGTATAAAGCACTTCTAATTGCAACAATTGACTGAATGAATGCAACACATTAAACACTTCAGTCAATGCATTTGGACTTTCCACTAAACGCGCTTGAATCAATTGATGAATATAGTTCACTTGTAATGTATGTACCAATGCCTTTCCATCGCCGGTTTCCTTGTCCTCCACCAAAATTTCAATTTCCAACAAACGCCATGGTATATCCGGACCGTCACCCATCACCGTTAACGACACCGCGAATTCATGGTCGACGTGAAATTTGACACGTCCATTTTCAATTTTAAATTTTCGCATTTGTGGCAATAGGTGACTCGTTACCAAACGATGCTGTATCACTTGATTCAAACGCAACAATGTTTGTCGTTTTTCACTCGGCGTTATTGGATCGGGTGGCACAATTTTTTCTCTGAAAATTGAAATTGTCAAAAAAAAAAAAATTGTCGGGGGTGAGTCAGAAATTAAAACAAGTGTTATTGTTAAAATATTTGATACCTTATGCATGTGGGCAACCGAGAATAGGTACCAGTTGTCAGAATCTCAACAGCAGCTGGTATATGAAAATTCGGCAAACGGGCATGGACCAAGGTTTCACGGGCCATTCGTGCCAATGTATCGGCTGTATCGACAAAAAGCATTGATTGCTTGTCCAAAAAGTTCATAATGTGCTGCAATCGAAACGAAAAACACACATTTATTTATTCGAATGAATTTCGAATTCATTTATATATCAACACTTACGGAAGATTTATCCACTTTTGAAGCCGAATTAGCCCATTTTACAAGTGCTAATAGACGAATAAATAGTTGCCTCGTTCTCGCTGAAAAATTGTAAATCTCAATTTTTCGCTCCAGATCGGTCTTTCTCGGCAAACTGCATAAAAATAAAAAATAAAAAAAATAATAATTTCATAACATATTTAAAAACATTTGTCATCTCATTTAAATTTGCGCTATGAGCCGCAATATGAGAATACTAAAGAAGAGAAAATTTACAGTTCTGCAAGAACGGTGAGCTCATGATAAGTTCTCTGTATGATAAAATCAATGAGCATTGCCAATGAGATGGTACCGCCTCGTGCTGCTTCATTTGTGAAGCCACCACCATCGGTTGCAGCCGCATTTTGTATACTCTCTAGTGGCTGTGGTGGCATAATATTTCAATTTTTGATTCGCAAGAATTTCTTTGGACTTCGGCCAAACAATATTTTGTGTTCAACTTTAAATCGGAATAAAAATTCACTAAATTCACTCAGTATGACACATTTTCTATTAGATTTCCTAGACAATTTGCTTTCGAATTTTTTTTTTGTTTTTGTCTTTCACACCGAATATATAGATATTAATATGGAGACAATCGGTGCGACACAACACAAACTCCAAGTGAAATAATAAATTTCGATAGTACGCTTCTGTCATTGAACTTATACAACGATGGCGCACCACACAAAAATGCTTTCCATTTCGACCGCTCGTACCAACATTAAACCATTAAAATATTGAATAATTGGATTAGAATGAGCGGCAAAGCAGTAAACATGCATAGTAAGTATTTTAAAATGATTAAAGGCAATGGGAAATGGTGAAAAAGGCATTCGAATGGAAAATGTTCAATGAAATTTACTTTATTTGGTGAATATAAATGAAAATGTTGCATACATATGCATACATTTTGTTCAAATTACATTTAAGAACAACAGATGGTGTTAGTGTCGCCAGATATTTGACGCAAAACTCAATTTGACATTACTCTCATTTCGCCGCAAAATCAACGAATCAAATACAAATATATACATTCTGAGACACTTGTGTTTATTTACGTGCTCGTGTTTTTTTTTTCTTATTTACATTTTTAAACTTGTACTTTGTAACAGAAGTGACTTCCCGTCGTGAACTAGTCTATAAAAATGAACTGAAAAAGCGTTTAATTATTATTTAGAATTGAGAATAAAAATGCCGGTCACTTTATTATAGTTAATTTATTTTATCAATCCAATAAAATGAAAACTGCTATACTTCTTTGACTTCAGAATAATTCAACATTTCTATAATTTTTTAAAAAGGACTTGTCTTGACGATTTAATAAAATTTTATCTTCTGCATAATTCATCTGCTTCATATTTCAACAGATTAAATTATTATTAAAAATTCATTTTTGCGTAGCAAAATATATTCGATTTTCTCTCTGCTTTCTGTCTGCTTTGCATCGTTAATCATTCAGCCAGAAATCTTATAAATTTGTATAAAAACGTTTTCGTCGTTTCTCTTTTTCGGTATAAAAAAATTATCCATTTTTCTACTAAATTTTTTCTCCAATTGACTTATGTCTTTTAAATGTTGCTCTGCTATCAAAAGTTGACTCTTGACATTGTTGGACTTCTTAATAATCAAATATATATATATATATATGTATGGTAATATATAAGTAAACTTGTACAAAACATGATTAAACATATAGATTTCGAGGTCGTTGCACCGTAATTTATATTTTTTTTTAAAGAACGTGACTCTATTATATATTGTTGTCAATTATGTAATCCGGGCTGCATTTATGATTTGCCAACATCCATCACACACACGAACTGGCTTTTTCCCAATTTGGCCCTGGTCATTTGGAAGTGGTGCACAGCTGGCCGAACAACTGGCACAGAAGATAAAGCCACAATTTCGACAGTGATGCTGCGAATGATAGAAGTATTTCGTAAAAAGTGGTACTTTTGTTAAAATGTAAAACCAAAAATCACATTACCTTGCGTCGCGTAAGACTGAATTCTCGTTCGCATTTTTTGCAATTTGATGTTGATGCATCCGGTGTCCAAACACTGCCATTGGAATCACTGTTGATAAGCCGTGAAGTGGTTTGTTCGGAATTTTTCAATTTCTCTTGAAATTCGCTAACTTGTAATTTGCTAACGCTTAATTGGATGCCCAATTCTTCGAGAGTGATTTGCGCCTCCGACCATTGTTTCTTCAATCGTTCCAGATCGTTGCGCATTCGATCGTGATTTTTGATTTCATCGTTTAGCTGTTTGATTTGCAATTGCAATGCACTGATTGTGGCCAAAGCCTTTTGTTCTTTGTCTTGAAGATCAATACGCCATTCACGTTCGACACGCACATCTGTCTCACACCGTGATGCACGCTCTTCACATGCAATTACTTGCAACGATAAAGCTTGTGACGTTTCCTGTAACGCTGTCAAACTTTGAATTTCATTGGCATATCTAGAGAATAGAGAAAAAGTACAAACCGAAAAAATGATAAAGATATTAAACATTGTTTTGATAAAACGTTATCAAAATGGAAAATTTAAATAAACAAACAAATGAGATAACAAACAAAAACGTACTTTTTCTCAAGCTGAACAATGACATTGGCCATTGTTTCCTTTTGCGATTCAAGTTTTGCCAATAATTCGCTTTTATGCTTCAGTGATGATTCACACTCCTGTCGAAAATACAAATGAAAAACCAAACCAGATTTTAGCCAAAAACAACGTAAAAACAGAATTAAAATGAGACAAAGTTTGCTTTCAATTTATGACCGTTTATTTATCAATTTTCAACTTGACATATTCTTGTCAATTTTTTCTTCTCTTTCGCACGCCTGAATAAATGAGTTTGTAAAATATGTATGTATATTAGTTTTTATAATTAAATGATCTATAAAATCTCTCTTTCAAGCATCACCAATTCCATTTCGCGACTGTTGATATTTTAAACATTTTTATTTTCTTTCAAATTTTAGTTTCTTCATTTATTGACACAAAAATAATTGGAATTAAAGCAGGTGTTTGATTTGTAATGAAGCATTTATATATATATCGCTGAAAATGTTTGGCCTTATACTAAGCGACAACGATTCATTTATTCTCTTGACGATTGATTTATTTGTCATTGAGCTCAAAACACGATTATTTGGCGGCATTCTTGGTGTTTACATCTTTTATGGCGCTTGTATCTGATGTATTCATAGCGATAGCTGCCTGAGTCTTTGACATTGACGATGACGTCGACGCCAATTCGCTGCTGGTCAACGAAGCTGATGGAGATTTTCGGATTTTATTCGCATTAAATGGTGGAATTGGATCAATATATGGCTTTTTAATGGGTGGTCCGCTTTCCGATTTTTGTTTACTTAATTGCGTTGCAGTCTTTTTACCATGTTCTTCTGAACTTTTATTTTCGAGCGTTTGTAAAAGTTTACCAATTTGGGAGGCTTTTACTTGAAGACGTGCAACCATATCACCTTTTTGTGTCAGTTCGAATTCGCACTCCTTTATTAGATCAAAAATAGATTTTTGATATTTGTTCAGTCTTTGTAAAAAAATAAATTGGGGTTGTTTTTTTTTTTGGATTGCAATTTGTTTTTCAACAACAATCTCGATCAAATCAATATGGGTTCAACCAAATTAGCTTCGATCTAACGACTAAAAAATTATTGAAAAAAAAAAATATATTTTCAAACTGAAAAATCATAAATAAACGGAAAATTGTGGATGGATGTGATTGAAAGAAATTCGAATGAAATAAATAAAAATGAACCATTTTTATAGAGGAAATGGGCTGGAACGATTGCAGATACCTGTAACTTATTATACATTTCCAAATTAATTTGCTTGATATCTTCGAGTTGACGCCGAAGCGAGACTATTGTATCTTGTTTTTCGTGGATATCTTTTTCAAGCAGCTTCATGGCCATTTCCGTTTCGGCTTTCAACGAAATCTAATTTGTGAAATTATGAAATTTGGTGAATGCTTGCAAAATTGAAAAAAAAAAAAAAAATTGGGGAATTTTTTTGTTGTTGTTATCGTTTACTTGAAGTTCTAATTCACGTTCAATATCTAATCGCTTCTTTTTTTCGGTTGCTAATGCTTGTGCCATCTCTGGATCGATGTGATCGAGACCATTGTTTGGATTGTCATTCTTGGTACCGTCATTGCCTTGCTGTGTATTTCGACGCAATGCCAAATTTTCGGCTTGCAATGCCATTAAACTATTTCGTGCAATTTGCAAATCCTCTTTCATCAATGCATTTGTTGTGGTTAGACCTTCGACTTTCGATTGTAAATTACCAACGGTCGCACTAAAAGAAAATCAGACAAAACATTTTATGAATGGGAATTTTCACTTTGAGCATGCAATGCTAGCATACTTCAAATGTCGATTTAATTCTTCGATATAGTTCTTTTGGTCTAATACAGCTGTCATATTGCCGGCGGGCCCTTCAATTGCGGCCACATGAACATTTTCATCGTCGGGACTTGCACGGGAACTGGTTCGTAAATACAATGAAAAATCTATGACGCCTTGTTGTGAATCTAGATCTTCCTCTTTGAAACATAAATTGCAGTCGATCACATTCAAACCGACCAAAATGCCCATTATTATAACGATCTGGAGTTGAACAATATTAAAATTAAAAGTTAAATATAAAAAATGTTTTTTTTTTTTTTGCTTTTAAATTGTAATTACTTCGTCGCTCATCATCAATGCATGCGGTTCATAGTATTCGGCCAATGCTTCGTCTTTGTGTTCCATGAGTGCTTGCAAATAGTCGGCCAATTTTTTTTGCATCAATGCAATGCGAAGCCATGCTCTGGCACGACCCATATGCGTTCGAACTGTTGGCAAATCTCGAACGCTGGCCGTTATATCGTGAGCTTCATAACAGTATTTTTCAACACTCTGTAAAATATCCCAGAGCTCTTTTTTCGGACCGAGCAAACCTTTCTTTGGCTTTAGCCCATGTCGCAGCACATGCTCAAGTACAATGAAAAAATGCTGCAACGGCAAATGATCTGAATCGAGCATTCGTCCAAATCGAATCGATTGCTCCAACAATTCCTTAACAACAAGCTTGCATATATTCACCAAATTGCTGCGTTCAATCGCTGCTGGGTCCCGTGCTACAAATAAAATTTCAGATATTTTGGTTTCGATTTAAAAAAAAAACGTTTTTGATTTCAAAAAAACATTAATTTTTGATTAAAAATGGAGAAAATTCAAAATTTTCAATCAATTTTTTGTCTTCATAATTTTCGTTTAGTGCTGCTAAAGCAAATAAAAATTGAAAAAAAAGGTACACATTCATTGTGAAAAGTAAAAACTAAATACAAAAATTGTGCAACGAAAAATGGCGTATTTGTTTCGATGGGGCCATTTCTCAACAATTTCTCTTGCAACCAATAAATAAAATACTCAAAAGGATGTTCTTTTTTATGGTGAAAAGAGAATAGACAAACATAAACCAAATCAAACCAAGCCACCTACAGTAATTGACCCAATCACGATCCAATTTGTCTTCGCATTTATTGTTTGCAATACCAAAGTTAGCCATCGTTCCAGCTTCATCGTTTTGCGCATTTGAACTCTCCTGTATATCTAAATCTTGTAATTCCTTTAAGCACAACCATTCACCATCCACCGATACACGAAAATTGCACAAATAAATTGTATCTTGTGCGCCAGCCACTTCTTCCATATCCTGATTTCCTCTGGGCAACGTTATCATTGTCGAATTATTATTGTGACTGGTGTTATTGTTATTGTTGTTGTTTGCGTTATTACTTGAGCCACCTCGCATCTTTGCTACTACATTCGAACACTTCTGACAGCTGCCACAGCCATAACCATAAATTTGAATAGAAAACATTGAAAAAGAAACAACGGGAGAGAGAGAGATAAGTTATTTTTTTCGATTCAATTCGAATTCGCAAATCATCAAACAATGTAAATAAAACAATGGACGACTAACAAATAACGACGCAAGTTGATTCAAGCGTATGTTTTTTTTTGAAAAAAAAAAAAAATGCAATTCTCGTATCAGATAAGATGGACAAAGAGAAACGATAAAATGTGAATCTTTATATTCAGTAAAAAAACGCGCTGTTAAACACAAAAAGCACACTACACTTTCGATTTCTATTGAAATACTAATACGATTTCGGCTTTGGCTTCAATCAACTAGCAAAACCGTATTGATTTGGTGTCGATTGAGTGTCTTTCTATTGTGTGTGAATCCACCATATGAATTTTATTTTATTCAATTGTAAAAAAATGCGGCTGATTTATTTTCACTGAATCTGATGTTTGATTGGTCAATTTGATTGAAAATTACCGTCAAAATAAATGGAATACAAGTGTTGCTTTGGTTTTCCTTCTTCTCTGTATTCCTCTTAGGTTTGTCGTTTACTGCGTTTGACTTTTTAAATATCGATTTTTTTCCACCCAGTTGTTGTATCACACTCAATGTGTATTCTTCTAACAAACGACTCACTCGTCCATTGCATTCGCGTATAATATGAACGCTTATATATGTGTGGATATATGAATGAGTGTGTTTATGTGGCTATCGCAAAAATAAAAAGAAGGGCGCTCATGGTGTTTGAGTGTTTATGCGCTGGCGCCATGCATAAATGGTATAAAGACTGTGTGACAATCCAATGTCGCATTGAATTAATGTGCAAAGCGTGTGTAAACGGTTTCACATGGCTGGCTGTCAGAATTGTTGTTCGAATTGCGCAAATCCAATAACACTGTGTTTATTGTTTACATCCGATGGAACTGAAGAATTCGGTACGTGGATTGGGTCATTTTATTCTATTTCGTTAATTTCACCAAATCAAAACCGTCAATCAAATCAAACGGATTGATATACAAACCAAAAATGTGATTCCTTCTCAATAATTATCTGGATTTTTTTTTCTTTGGCTTACTTTATATCAACTGTCAACTCTTCGGCACATTCCCAATCGAATGCATTTTATTCATGTGTGACAGGTTCATATAGTTCGGCACATTTGTCGAAATGAAATTTTAAAATAATTTTACTCACCGGATTGGAGAACCGGTGGTGATATAGTACTATAGCTGTCAGAACCATTGTCAAGTGGTTCGGTTTTGCTAGTTGATGCTAAACTGGTTTGTGACGTTCGACTTTCCGATCGAATTAAATTTCGAAGCGATGACAACGATGTTGACTTTTTTGGTGTACTATTCACTGTATTCACTTCTTCTTCACTTTCGGCACGAACATATAAATTTCCAATATTTTCACTCATATTGCACCAAAAAAACAAAAACAAAAATCACAATCAATTGAAAAACAATGTACCAACACTAAAACTACTATGGAATGGATGGAAACCGACCAATTTTTGTTTACACTATGATTACATTTGCAATGGGAAACAACTGTTGTTCATACAAAAATAAACAATGTATTTCAATGAATGTATTTCCAAAATGTTTGGCCGTAATATTTCATTTGACACTATTTTTTTTTTACAGACTCGAATTATAATTTACCGAAAATGTTGATCCATTTTTGGATCTCTAATTATCAATGATTCAAACAAATTTATATACAAATACATACACTACACAATTGATAATTAAAAAAAAAAAAAACGAAAAATGGGCAGATTTAGTGTTGAAAAACTGACTGCATAGATAAAAATAACAAACAACAATCACATTCGAAGACAAATCGGCCACTTGCAGTTAAATTAAAATTCATCTGTCATTTATTCATAATTCTTTTGATTATATTTTTTCTGTTTCTCTTTCGTTGTTGTATTTATTAAAATTCCGGAATCTCAGATTATGCAACTCAACGGGCCGGTTTCCACGGTTTTTTTTCTTTCAATTTTTTTTTGTGATTAAAAAAAGTTCATATAAATATTTTGTTGTGACGATAGTAAATAGAAGCAAAATTGGTGTACGTCGAACAAGAATGTCATCCATAAGTTTAGATGTGAGTGTTGCGTATTTGTTGACAGTTGTCTTTGTGTGTATGTGTTGATATTTTGTGAGAATTGGTTGGTAGCCGTGCATGCCATAATCAGAATTCAATTGTGCTATCCACAATTATAGATTCGACCAAAAATGAAGCAATTTCATTGACAAAACAAATTTCTATACAAAATCGGTTAACTTTATACAGTCAGCGATGATATTCGAATTGTTTTCTTTTTTTCTTAATTAACTGCGTAACAATATTCCGTGTCCATTTGAATTGTAAAACATAACCAAACAATTTGTTGTGTATAAACTGAACGGACGGTTGTGTTCGATTCTTATTCGAATAAATGTCAATGGAAAGCGCGACGAATTCAATCATTACAACGCAAAACCAACAATAACAATCATCCAGAAACACATACAAATAAGATGGAAATCGTATTTTTCTCGCTCATAACAATTCGATAGGCCAAGATATTATACATTCGAACACCACATCGAATGACACATCTCTTCTCTTATTTGTGTGCTAAATCCGGTCACACAGCTGATTTTGATAAAAGTGAAGAGAATGAAAAAAAAATGTGACATGTGAAATGAAATTCAAACGCAGTTGAGACAACAAAAACATTGAAGAAGAAGAAGCAGCAGCAGCAGTACAGACTGAATGAAAGAGAGAAAATAAATAGTGACAAAAAGTGTAGCACAGAAACAATGAATGTTTGTCATTCAGCAGTATGCACCAGTAGTGATCGTGTGTGAATTTTGATTTTGAGTGCAAATTTTATATTTTCTGGATGGAATTTGAAAACTCAATTAGCATATAATTTTGTGATATGATAGTGTAAAATCTCGAACACTTGTGTTTAGTCGAGGGTAAAGTTTTCTTCATTCTTTTTTTTATTCATTTTTGTTCGTTGTTGTTGTGATGATGTGTGTGTGTGATGTGTGAACTAAAAGGTTCGAAAATAACTATGATCGAATGTCAAAACCAGGAAACAATATCACTACACAAAATCGATTTGAGAGACACGATACAAGCAAAACAAACGATTAAATTGATTAATTCCGTTCACAGTGAATAATTGTCAATAATATGCATTCGATGTGTGTTTAAATGCGAAGAAACTGAACTGTGTCTTGGCTGATTAAAACAATTGTAATTTTGTTGTTGTTGTTGTTGTTGTTTTCATCTTGAATTTTATCAATTGCTATTTCGGAACGTATTGTTTTGTGTGCATCATTTTAAGATTCTTGACAAGCTAATTATAACATTCAAATTGACAATTTCAATTGCGTTTCGAATCGAATGTTTCATGTTAGTGCCGAAAACATTCATTCTTGTTTCGATTTGTTTCGCCTTATTTTTGTTTATTTATGCAAATGCCGCACAACGCGCGTGTTCATGTTGACTGTGTTGTTTTTTTTTCTTCTATTCTCTCTCTCTGCCTTTTCTTCTTCTTCTTCTTTGGTATTCAATTAATTCGAGTTCAATAAAATGCACTATGCTATGCGACACAACGATGTTCAATTTTAAATGGCGTTTTCTAACTTAATGGACTTTGTGTTGGTTGATTAAATGTATATCAATTTTCTGCGCAAGTGAATCATTTCGTATTTTATTTATTGTTTGTTTCAGAATTCCATTTCTCATCAAATTTCGAATGCATTTTTCCCCCAATGTGATAAATAAATCTGAATGCAGATAAAATAAACATCCTATCTAATATTTAAAATAATGCGTCATCACTTTCAAAGAGCGCGAATCTGCTGTCTTTGTTTTTCTCTTGTCAACAAAGAGTCATTGTTTCGTTCTTACTTGAGAATTTCAATTATTTATCAATTGTATGTATGTGCGTCTTTTTTTTACATTTTCATCGTTGGTGTTTATGAAAATGTGCCTATCAGTACGAATTTTTTGTTGTTGTTATTGTTTTATAAAGTAATTAACGGTAACTGTAATATTTGGATGTTTTTTGCTTGGATAAACAGTGCCAGTGTTTTGTGTGATAATGGCACATTGAAAAGGAGCGAAAAAAAAAACATTTAAAAATTGTATGTGCAATTATTCGACATTGTTCAAATACATTGTATATGACACTGTCGACTGTTTTATGATAAGGATTTATGTGTGACGATAAGATTAAATCGAAATTTGTTCATTAAACATATTTCACAATTTTTCTAAAATGCTGAACTCTTTTTTTTACTTTTTGCTTGTTAGTCGAAACAATCATCTATCAATTGATTTGCAATTTCTGTATATTTTTTGGAAAGAATGAACTTCAAACTCTCTCAATTTACACCAGCGACATTGTACAGTTAATCTTGTTTTACAATCAAACTATGCATAAATAGAATGTGGACGTTAACCGCAGTTATTCTCTCAAATGCCTGATAAGTGTTTCGCTCTCTTTTCTCTTTTTTTTTTGTTACTGCTAAATGTATGCCTTTGTCTTCCCTTTCGTTTTGCAAGCACAAAAGCGAGTGTATATTTCATGCACACACGGCAAAAATCAGCAATGATATTTTCGAGGAAAGAGAAATTAAAAAAAAAAAGATAGACGACGTTGTTGTTTGGTGACGTCGAAATGGCGTATTGGAAAGGATGCATTTTCTATGCTAATCTGTCGACAGAATCGCACGTACCAAATTACGTGGTTTTTTCCTCTCTACCGTGGAAAAAAGAAATCATTCATTATTGACGACAACAAACATATTTGAAAGGCGCAAAAATAACTCTGTCATCCGAACGACCTATGATTTATAGAAACATGAATGCCCAAATCGCGATAATTGATTGAACAATTCGGCACGAAAAGGAAATAAGTAGCTAAAATCAATTGCTTTATCGTTGTGTCGCATTGTAACGGATTACGAGTATCAACACTTTTTTATTTTATTCTGCCATTATTTATAGCTCCTCAAATTGAGCCCGTAATGGAATGAAATGTATGCTTCGCATCAACATAAAATACAACACACATACAACTCTTTAGACTTCACATTTAGTAATAAGTCTTTTGCTCGCTTGTACCGGTTTTTTTGGTGTACTCGAAGATTTGCAACACATTCCATAATTGTGTATATTTCGATTGTACGTTAATTCAAGTGAATTATGGTTCGGTAAATTGGCGAAATAAATTGTAGGAAACCAATTCAGTCAATGAAATTTTCATTCACGTTACACGAGATGTGTGTGTGTGTGTGTGTCTTTTTTTCGTTTTTGATCTTCTCTCATTGATTTTGCCAAACAATTTACACCATCTCTGTGTGTAGTCTCGATAGTTGCAGTGAAACCATTTTCAAATCACTACTGACACTTCTTAATGGTTGTTGTTGTGACATTGTTCGGGTGGCGGGTTTGTTGTCGTCGGCGGCGACAGCAGCGGTGGCGCGGCAACTTTATCACTTAGTAGCACATCTGATAGAGTCAAGCATTCTGGGCACTTGTATTTTTGTACGTGAGTTTTTATGAATCGCAATTAACTTTCAACTGGCTTATTGTCCCGTCTTTGTTACTCTTGCTAACCCATTCACTCGCTCATATTCTCGCCTGCTCTGTGTATTTCTCTCTCTCTCTTTCCCATATATTTTGTTTGTTTGTGTGTGTGTCTATTTCGTTCATTTTTCGTTTCTTGTCAAATCAAATATTGTTCATAAACGTTAAGAGTGGATCGCATGTGCCAATGATTCGGTCGTCAATTGAGTCGCGTTCGTTGCCTTAGATAATATCAGGTTGTGAATATAACTACTGCCATATAACCGCCGTTTTTCTCTCACTCTCATTTATCATAGTGTTTTGCAGTTGTTTGTTGTTTACTCAACCAAAAAGGGTGCAGAAACGACCTATTTACGATTATCGAATTAATTGCAACACATTTTTTTTATCTGTTTTAATTAAACCGTGCAAAAATCACATCTGTGCAATCATTTGTATAAAATATCAATATTTTTTCCACAGATTTTAAATAAATTTACCAATAATTCTATCATATTGATTTAATTCCAGATTGACTAAACCAAACGTTTTGATTTCGGTGGAATCACACCGCAAATGTGCACCACTTCCATTTGCGTATCCAATTTGTGTACAGCGCTTATTACAAATATTTATTGTTGTTATTTTATTGAGATAAGCCGATAAATTACCACGAAATGATGATGATATAAATGTGATTTAAGTGTGACAACTGAGAAAAAAATTAAGCTCATTTTTGATAAAACTCTGTTATTTCATTGTCACTACTCGTGATTTATGTGAAACACTATAATAACAACAGCAACAACAAGCGCCCACAACGACTACATAGGGATCAGGTGTTATTAAAAGGAAATCATCCATCCGGTGTGAGTTTCAGAACGTGAACAATTCTTGAGATGAATACAACACTGTCGCCAATCATGGATGAGACACTGCGTTACATTTACTCTGAAGTTATCGAACGTTACACACCTGAATATATCAAATCAATTGAATTTGAGTACACGCCATGGGTATGCTCTAGGGGCAATTCACTTAAAAATTACCTTTCTATTATTTAATAATTGTTATTGATTTTTTTTCGATTATTGCGATTATTTTCGATTATTTCAAATTAATTCTTCTCTTTTGTGATTCTCCCCTTAGGTATTCTCAATATTGGGATCCATCGTAATTGGACTTAGTGGAATATTTCCGTTGTTAATCATCCCGTTGGATGCGGGCGGTTCCCAATTTAATGATCGTAAGTTTCATCCGATTCATTTACCATTTGAAATATTTCACATTTTTTTCGCAACTGTGTATTGATTACTTAACCATTCAAACTGTTCGCCGATAAGTTTCGATCTATTGAGTGGCAATTCTTTATCAATTAAATTTATGTACGTGCCTATTGTTAATTTGTCGCGTTCACATGATTTATGATTCCCACGTTACCATTGAAATGTTCAAGTGCTGATACGACATTGCTAATCGATCATTTCATTAAAAAAAAAATTACCCTCGCCTGTTTAGTATGTGTGCTTAGGTTTTTATTCGATCTAAATCAATAATTTGAATTAATTTATATTTCATTTCAATGTAGCGGCTGAATCAAAATCTCTCAAGGTATTATTGAGTTTTGCCGTTGGTGGACTGCTTGGTGATGTATTTTTACATTTGTTACCCGAGGCTTGGAGTTCTGATCTTTCTCAAAAAACCGCAGGTAAATACAGTCAATTACAATACAAAGAAAAATTTAAACGGTTCTTGTTTTGTTTTTGTTTGCTTTGGTTCCGAACCATAGATGGTCATCCATCGATGCGAAGTGGCCTTTGGGTATTGGGCGGCGTTCTAATATTTACCATTGTTGAGAAAATATTCTCGGGTTATGTAAACGCTGACGAAAGCAATCCACAACCAAAATGTGTGGAAATTGCAAATTGTTTATTACGAAAAAGTGGTGGAAAAATTCCCGACAATAAAGATGGTTTGGTTTGTGCACAAAATGGTTCGTGTGACATTGAAGATGTTCCAAATGGATGCTTTTTGGCCGGAAAATCACACGAAAAGAAGGAAAATCAACCGAATAAAATTGCCGGCTATCTTAATTTACTTGCCAATTCGATTGACAACTTTACGCACGGTTTGGCCGTGGCTGGATCGTTCTTAGTTTCATTTCGTCATGGTCTATTGGGAACGTTTGCCATTTTGTGTAAGTTTTCATCAATGATTGAATATCGAATTTAATTTAATAATTTAACATATTTGTATGTGATATTGGTAGTACACGAAATTCCGCATGAAGTGGGTGATTTTGCGATTCTATTACGATCGGGCTTTAGCCGTTGGGATGCAGCCAAGGCGCAATTATTAACAGCTGGTGCCGGTTTGGTTGGTGCACTGGTTGCAATTGGTGGTACAAATGTGACGAGCGCAATGGAAGCACGAACTTCATGGATTATGCCATTTACAGCCGGCGGTTTTTTGCACATCTCATTAGTTACCGTTTTACCGGATTTACTCAAAGAGACCGATTCACGAGAATCAATTAAACAATTGTTCGCATTATGTGCTGGCATTGGTGTTATGGCTTTTATGACAATTGTTTTTGAATCGTGAGCACACACTATCACACTTTAAACGGTGTGTTTGTGCGTATGTCGGCCATCGAACTATATGGAAAATATGAATCACAAGCTCAAGTCACACAGCAAAAAAAAAAATAACAACAACAATATCATTTAAAATAAAAGTGGAGTGTATTTACACCACTTTGCACTTGTAAAATACTTTAGTTCTGATAATTACTCTATTATTACGTATTTCTTAAAAAAAAAACACAAAGCAATTATTCTTATTGTATTTGTCACATTAAGAATTTCGAATTGAAAGGGAACTGTTAAATCAAATTCTGTAGTGTGTAACTTGTGAACAAACTTTAGGCTAACCGTGATTAAATAGCAAAAAATAAATAAATAATTTGATTAGAAATGAAAATTGTTTACAAAAAAAACAAGCAAAATATTTTGTATAAAGGAAAGAACTGAACTGTAACCGACTATAGGCATACAAAATCACTAAAAGAAAATGAAACGATGCAACAGACTTGATCTGTTCCATCCTAAGAAACAGAAATTCAAACTGAACAAATCTTTAATATAGTGAATTTAGTTTCATAACTGATCAATATTCTTTTTTTGTATAACAATTAGTTAGTACATATTTGCCATATATGACTCACAAATATATTTCAACATGCTCAATTTGTTGCAATGCATAATTTGGTTTATGGTGCACGCCTTTGCCAGTATGCAAATCTAATTCAATTAGATTTTATATGGATACGTTTATTTTTTTTAGATAGATTTCAAGCGTTTCTCACACCATTTCTCTCTCTCATCAATTCAAGAAATATCGATGAAAAAGCGCATACCAAAAGGAAAAATACTTAGCCCTTCGATCGGGTTTTTGTGATAAGCAAACAAATTGAATTACCGAGTGTTTGTGTGTGAATCACCATAAATCATGATTAGATTTTGTTTTCTACATGTCTAAATATCCTTTTTATTCAATTGTTTTAATCGAACAATGATTCGATTCAGTTAATTCTACGAAAAAAAAACAATAACAAAATTTCAAGCAAATTTTTCATTAAATGTTATGTATACAAAATCGAACGGTGTTTTATTTTGATTATAAGTGTCGTATCGTTGTGCATCAACTATTATGACGTTTGTCAATGTAAGTGTATGTGTTTGTAAGTAGAACTTATGTTGTAATGATTTAAATGTCCAACGAATCTTCATTTAAAAGGCACTTTCAGTTGATCGAAACAATAAAAATCTTTTATTTTAATTTCGTGCCGTGAAGTCCAATTGACTTTTTCGATGTTCGAATACCGCCAAATTTCACAGTTTCGTTTTGTTTTTGTTTAGCATCTTTTGTGCGAAACATCTTAACTTTTTTTTCTTGCGAAATGTCATTCCACTTGGCGCCCAATCAATACACAAACCCTATCGATTGAATTTGTTTTACCATCCAAACATACAGACGTTTTGTATTGTGTGTGAGTGAACAAGTGCTAGAATGAGAAAGACACCGAGATCAGAACAAGTGTGATGCAAATATTAGTGACGATTCAGTTTACACTCGACTGTTCCGATGATTAGTACGCACACGTTTCAATTGTTCAAATTGTCGTCAAATTTTGTTTTAATTTCTCCGTCAGAGTTTGACGGCATCTATTCCTCTCAAAATTGGAAATTTTATTTCAATATTTTTAATTAGTTATTTATTACATATTTTATTTATATTTTAATCCATATTTGTGTTTGTTTGAATTGTGGTAAGTACGGCGAAGAAAGTGCGCGCAAAACTTTTTTTTTTCGTTTTTTGGTTATTTTTTTTTTTGTTGTTGAGCAAAAGAGTCATTTTGTGACGAGACAATAAATTCATCTGCTACTGTGATTACAGCGTTCAATGAAGACAGCAACGATTCATTGCCATGGAATCAATGTTCATTTCATTTTCAAGTTTTGAAATTGTTTTGTCTATAGAAATGATCCGTTAATCAAAGTGTGCTCTCTTCTAAATCTCTATTTCTCTCTGTTTCTTCAATTTTAGAATGATATTCATCCCACTGCGACGCATCTATTTCAATAGTGTTTTTGTTTGGATATTCTATAGCATTATCGCGATAAATTGGATGATTGTGTGATGTCCGTGAACTAAAAAAAAAGTGTGTTGTTGTTTTTGTTGATTTTTTTTTTTTAAATTCATACAAATACAAATTTTATAAAGTGGAAATTAATTTGTGGCATGGACAAGATGGAAAAATCACGGGATGTGTTTAGTGATGATAGCGGTTTTTCAAAAGAATCACGTCACATATCAATCGAAAATCTCGAAGATTGTGCAACACAAGATGCATGCGATTTCCAAGACCATTTTGACAACGATAGCAGCAATAGTTCAACTGAAGATAGTGAAGAACGTGAACCTAGACATAAAAACGGCAGTCGTAAATTAAGGTTAAATCTTACACATCGTTTAAACGATTTTGGTACGTCAACAGTTCTGTCGCCAATCAGTGATCTTGCAGTGAATGTCGCCAAAACGAAAATATCTCCAACCAATTGCAGCCATCAGACGGGTAAGTCACAACAAATTATTTTGAAAACAAGCGCGAAGCGCGAAATGTTCACATACAATGTGTAACATGTCATGTGTCATATGTGAATATGGAATGCATTCAACTGTTGGCCCATAGATGTCGGCCTTTGAGTATATCATTGAAAAGTTTCAATATTCTTAGATTTTAATCAAAGAAAGCACAATTAGTTAGAAATATCTTCCAAGGGTGGATCGATGAGCATTCGAAGAGAAGTGACACAGTTTCGACCACTCCACCGTGATTTAGACGAAGGTAGCTTTGTATGATTCAACTTCCTCTGTGTTGAATGAAATGATGAATTAGATTTAAATGTCACATCAAAGATCGATTTCAATTGTATTCGTTTTGTTACATTCATTGAAAGTATCCTCTTACAAAATATCATATGCATATGAAAAGCCGATTTGCATAAATTATTGGGGAAAAATGTTCATGGGTCATTATGGACAAAATTTGCATGTGTATTGTGTGCGTGTTGAATTGGACGAAAAATAACAACCATCTATACAAAATTTGTTGGTAATAATACAATTAACCCATCGAGAAGAATTTTCTTTTAAAAAAACTGTGAAATAAAAGAGGTCATCAATTGTTTACCAAGTTTAAGTAACAAGTGTACACACTTATTCAAATGCTTGCATTAGATATACTCCAATGTGTATAGGACTTGTCGTTGTTGTTGTTGTTGCTGTCATATGATTTGATTTGTTGCTACTCCTTTTTTCGCCAATACAATGGAATGTCTGCCGTTGGTCATTTGCCTATTTATTATGAATGCAGTGCGCAAACAATAAAAGACGAAAGAAACAGAGAAAGCAACAAAGCAAAAAATTCAGCGCTAATTTGATTTCGGCGGTCAAAACCGCATACATTGCAAACGAATACATACGGAGCTCAATTCTATCGTATCGCGTAAGATCGTTACGAAAAATTGAAAGAAAAGAGAAAGCGACCAAAAAACGACATAAACAAACAATAGCTCAAAACACACACACACACACACACACCGTATAATATGTATGTTCTTGCAGAGCATTGCAACCACCTTGACTTACCGTTAAAAGCAGTTGCACCAAGAAGAGACCAACCAAGCACGAAACTATACTGTGCGCGTTTGACCCCTATTTTTACATTTATCGCCCAGTATAAAACTAGACTTATTATTTATTTCATTTCCATTATTAATTCTTTTGCACTAGAATTTGTCGTATATTTTGGTGGAAATGCAAGAGTGAGACAGCGAGAAAGAGAGAGAGAATGACATGAAAAAGGAGTTAAAGAGAAACAGAGATATATTAAATACCGAGTGTGAAGCCGTTGCGCTGCATACACTCAGTCATTGTGTGTGCAACACGCACTATGGTGGGTTATTACATCTATATGTCAAGCCTTGGAGTAATCTAACAACAGTTTTTGGCGCGTGCTATTGAAAGCAGAGGGTGTGTTTTGTAACATTTTCATCGTTTGCTTGATTATGTCGTATTTTTATTCTTTGTCGGTATCAATATCACACACATACCACATTCAACACCAAAAATAGCGCCAAATGTATATATGCATAGCAATATCTGAATTTAAACGAAGAAAACCAACCTTTACGCAACATGTCAACGAACTAAGAAAAATAATTATGAACCGTAAGAGACGATTAAACGGAGTTTGGTTTCATGATCTCTATCGATAATGTACTTAAAATATACATGGTCAGTATCGAAATTGGCGCCACATTTCAACGAAAGTCAAAATGTCTCTAACGGTCGTTCATTCAAATCAATTCTGCACAAAAACAATCGAAATTTCCATAATTTTAAGTGCAAATTGACTTTTGATTATTTAATCGTTTTTTTTATGTTTTATTTCGTTGCGAAAATGCAATATTTTAAGAAGAAAAAACCTCACCGCTTGCTATGTTTGTGTTAATCAAACGAACGATTTGGCATTTTTCACTTCATTTTCGTTGAATAAATGAGTAAACAAAACAAGCAAATTCAACTCAGTGTGGCATTGAAATGCTCACAGCTAGACGCATCATGGTACAAAACAAATAAATTAGAGCTGTTGAATCGTAAGAAGCTTCATGGTTCGATCTTTTTCTTCTGCATTATGGTGACACTATGGCTAAATGTTTGTTCTTCGCACAGAGCGAAAACAATTATATGTCAGAAAAAATTGAATATCAGCCGCGCGCTCAGTATGATACATCATGATGAGCCGCACATGCATTGAAATCAACATCGGCTGATTTAATGGAACACAAAAATCAAGGCAGTAACGGTACAATTTGAAGAAATTTATCGATTAACGCCAGTACAATAAGCTTGTGTGCATTGGCATTGCATTTTACACACATATGCAACTTTTCATCGTTTTCTTTTTCGCTTCGCAATGGCACAGCACATGGCACTTTTATTTCATTCAAAACGAAGTTTACTGCCAACACCTAAGTTATACGGGTTAAATTAGGCGGAAAATAATTTGATTTTCCTATTGTCTTCAATGCAACGAACGGCAACGAACATTTCGTTTGGCATTTCTTTTGAAAGCGTATGGCTCTTTTTAGTATTCTTAATTAAATTCATCCAAATGAAATGCCGTCGACTAATTACAAAAGAATATGAATATATGAATATTGAATGGGTGTGCGATTAAGAATGAAAAAAAATATGTGTTTTCCACGAAAATTCTATATTATGAATAGATTAATTTCTTTATACTTTTTGCATAGATTGATTTCACACTGCATGATGTCACTCGCCATGTGATCGACTCAATGTGTATAGCATTTTCTCTTCGATTCGCCCATTTAAAAATGGCATGCAATGAATTTGATGAAGTCGATTTTAGCGAAATAAAGTCCAATCAAAAGTCTTATTACCTGTTTTCGTGTCGGTTGATATATTCGGTTCATTGAAAGTTGAAGGGTTGTTGCCTGCTAAAAGAAGAGGAAAAAAAAAAACTGATGACGAAAACATTGCAAGAATAGAAGACGTATTCCGGCTTTTCTTCGCGCCGACCGATATGCATTAGTGATGGATCTGTAAATCGTTTTCATTCCATTGTAAATTTGATTACATTGTTCCATTTTTTTTTTGCACACGTCGATTTTTCCTCTACGTCAATGAGGAGAGAGAAAGAGAAAATGCGCGACACACACACCATAATACCATTGGATATTTAGCGCGAAACATTGCAAATAGTTGTGTGCAACGAGAGTGAACAAAAAAAAATTGGTGATATGTTATTTATATATCATAGGCACAAAAATGTCTGAAGATGTTTTTTTGGAAAACCCGCGAAACTCTTACAATAGCTACTTAGATCTATTTAAATAGTCTATGCTGAACAATGAGCAAATTTGAAAAACAGTCCCCGGGCCGAGAGGGTACACGCATATAAGAGAGAAAGATATCGTATAAGTAAGTAAAAAGGACTGAATAGGGTAGCATTTTGAATGAAAACTAGCGCAAGACAGATATTATTTTTTTTTTTTCTTTGGAAGGTAAGTACAACAACAGTGGCAAAATAAAAAGAGAACGAAAAATTTAAAGAGCCGCTTTCTTTAGAAATTTTAATGTTGCTTATTGTGTATTGCTGCCATTTGCATGCATATTAAAATTTATTGTGCATTTGTCTGTGCAACAATCATCTCTCTTATTTTACATGTTGTTCTGTTCGCAGTACTATCAACAATTTGGCCGTGTTTGACGCATACACGAAACGGTGTGATTTATATACTTGTGTCACATTTTGCCTGGATCCGTATTTTTTTATATATCGATTATGTAAATTGTATCTCTCTTTGCCATTTTTCGCGATGGCTTTTTTCATTCCTGTTTTTGTATCTTATTATTGTTTGTTAATGCTGCCATAATTATATTCATGCATTCGCGCACATTGTGTTGAATGTGAGTGATTTCATTCTAGTGGAAAAGTGCAAGTCGGGTTTTCTTCCTCTTTTTTTTCCTTTATTGTATTTAAATATTTCAGTGTGTATCATCTAATTTTCCAATTTAGTCGGTTATAACATAAATATTAATCTATTTTCTTTGCAAATTTAATTGCATCTATTGTAGTCGCATTTGGCATAGTATTTGTGCAGCGCGGCATGTATTATGTATGCCATATTAAATGTGATTCGTGTGTGAATGTTAATTTCATTTCGAATTTCTCTCCTGCGTGCCTTGGAAATGCATGGGTTAATAAATATTCATTGGTTTTCTTTTCCTTCCAATGCCATTCAGTTGTAAGATTGGCTTTGACTGCGATTGAACAATTTTGCAATTATGTTTTTTTTTTCACTTTCGCAAGGGAAATAGTGTCAGCCAATTCGTTCCGATTCGATGGAATTATTGATTGATTTCAGTTGTGCACTTTTTTTTCTTTCTTCCACACATAGAATCAATTGAATGAAATTTAATGCGCGCTCTGTGTGCAAACATGTGTAAAATTGTATGAAAAAGAAATTTGCATAGTGTTTGCAACGGTAGGAAATCTGCAGATACTTATGAACTGCATTGTACAAGCAAATATGCAAGTGAGCAATTTTCAAGAGAGAGAGAGAGAGAGAGAGAGAGAGAAAGAGAGAGAGAGAGAGAGAGAGAGAGAGAGAGAGAAAGAGAACGAACACAATGCGCTGCGTCAAGATGTCATGGACAAAAGGGAAGCCAGTCAAGGAAAAACTCTTCTTTTTTCTGGAAAATATTATGATGGCTTTTGTTTGATCTTGTTTCTTTATTGCATGAATTCTGGTATTGCAATAAAAAGAAGAAGAAAAAAGCCGTGCCCACATTCTTCTTCGTTTAATTTGCGCTCATTTCGATGCACTTCTTATTCTTCGTTCACTCTAAACGAACTCATTCATTGAAGTGAACACTTACACACATTTTCCGTAATCGATTTGCATATTTGTTGTGTTTTTCTTCTTCATTATTCTTCTTTGATTTCTTTATTCGTCGTTCTATTGGATATTTATAGCCCTT